CCATTTTTAAAATATATTTTAAAATTTTTTTAATTCATGAGGTGCTTCAGTTCCTGGAAATCATTGCAGATTGAACCTCTCCTCGTCTGATACTTTATAGATGTTGGTTTTCTGAATGAATTTTATTATACCTTTCCATCTAGTTCAAAAAGAACTGCCTTACATTCTGTCTGCACTGGACGTATACATTTTTAGCCTAAGCTTTGGTATTCAGGTTTAATATGGAGAGCTATAGTTCTAGACTAGCCATATTATTATAATAAGAAAATTAAACCCAGAAAGATGACTGACTTATCTTGTTGTTTAGTGGTTACAGTGATAATAAAGCCTGTCTTTTCACTCTTATGCTTGTGTTCTTTCTACTTCAGAGGCTACTGCTTCTCTACGGGAATCCATAAGTATTTGAAAGCGTAAATAGATGAGATTTTAATATGAGCATGAAATTGTTGTGCCAAATTTTCTTATCTCAAATACTGTTTATTTGAACCTAGACAAGAATAAAATTGTTGCCATTCAAAATACTAATTAAAATAATCACAACCCTATTGATTAAATTGCTCTCCTGAGTATATAATGTCTTGCTTCTTGTGTGGTTTGCTTTCAAATAATAATGTTGAAGGTAGATGTGTCGATGCTCACAGCATAGTAAGCTTATTTGGTTTTATTACAGGTTACAGAATTTCGGTTTCCGGAAAATGCTTCGTTGTTTTCATGTTAACATTTAATCTTGTATTTTCTCTCTTCTCATAATTAAAATGGAAAAAGTATAGTTTGGGAGTAGGGCATTATACCACTAATATTTGATACTGTGAAGAAGTTACTTAATTTCTGTCTCTTTTGTTGTTGTTTGTTTGTGTGTTTTTGCTGTTTTTCTTTCTGGAGAGTGTTATTAGGAAAAAGAACGAGCTTTTCTAAAGCCAGGTGCTATTAAAAAAAATAAACCAACCTTTTTGCTATATTTTATACCATTGCTTTTGGAGAATAGATGGGGTGATGAACAGACTGAACAAAATGATACTATGTAAGTTTATCTCCCACGTGATTAAAATAAACTAAAATTTAGCTATGGCTTTAAGGGAGTTTTCAAATCAGTTCTTAGGCATTTCTAGTGTTTTATTAAATTCATAACTTCGAACTAAATGATTTAATTTATCATGCTTTTCTTTTTTCTCAAGAAGTCAAGATAGAGAGGGTACAGGTAGATGTAAAGGAATTAGTCTAAAGGTTACTCTTGTACTTTGACCAACAGTAACCTTTATATTAGCTTTCCGAGTAGTATAATGCTACTTGGAAAACACCACTGACCCCCTCTAGTGGCCAAAAGATTTGCTTTTTTTTTTTTTTTTTTTTTTTTTTAAAGATAAAAAGTAATATTACAACAAAGAGGTATGGTCTAATTTCTATCGTGTTTAAAAGAAGTAAACCTTGCTCTACATAGTAAATATTCAGTAAGTGTGTCATTGAACCAAAGTGGCATTTTATGTTTATGCAAAATGTATTCAGGAATACTGCTTACAAACTCACAAATTTAGGAGTTTTTTGCAAAGCAATACATATGATGATGCTTAAAGAAGATATATTGAAAGGGAAAAAATATTCATCCAGTAACTATTTGAATTCTATATTATTAATTTTAGATAGAATTTGGTGTTTTCAAAATACTGTATTGATGATTAGAGATTGTAAGTAAGCTCAACTTCTTTTTTCTTGTGGAAGAATGAGTGGGATTTTTAAAAAGCCATCATGTCTTTAAAAGTATTATCTCCAAAACTCATACCAACGAGATTTGAAAGCATGTTACAGTTTTAAGAACATAATTTCTTCCCATTTACATCCCTGCTTCCCTCACCCACTCTACCTTCAAAAAGCACACCTTATAGATTCAGAATAGTTTTGTAACTTCTCTTTTAGAATTATTTTCAGCACCTATGACAAAGTGTTTATAAAATATTGATACCTTGAGACCATCCCACACCTGTGCCATTTCCAGAATGACTAGTTTTTAAACAGTGAGGATTCATTTGTATGTACATGTATATTTGTTAACCACTTAAATTATTTATATTTAAAGTTATCTCATTATAATTGACTGAAATAGAGTGACAAATGACTCTTCATTATTTAAATTCAATGACAATGGAATTGGTTATACTGTATTTTCTTTTTCCTTGGACTTATTTATATAATTTATAATGAAATTTAAATGAAACTTTATTAGAGGTAGAAATACAGTTACACTAAACTCTCAGACTCCACATTTATTTACTATCCATTATGTAAAATATACAGCAATATCAATATTGCTATAATAGTCTTTTGTTCTCTCATGTCTTTGTTGTAAGAAGATATTACTTGTTTTGAAATGTCGAAACCTGAAAAAAATAGAAAAAGTTATAAGAAGTATGTTTAATAGTGAAGACACCTTTACTAAAGCTTTGTAGTGTTTATATTTTGTTCCAAGACCTTAAGAAAATAGTTCGACTTGCTCTGTTTTATGTCTTGTTGATATAAAGCAAGAAATGGAGAAAGTATATTCATTTGGATTTAAACTTAAAATTGTTTGATTTTTGGATATTTTTCAAATAAATAAATCTTTTTAATATTATAAAATTTTGATTGTAAATTGTAGAGTTCTTTTTGTTTGTTTATTTTTTTTAGGCCAGGCAACTGTTAGCTGACCTCACAGATTGCAAGGACCTTGTCAGATTACAATCCCTTATATATTTTTTTATTTTATATATTTTTTTACGCCTACAGCACCTGGTCTTCTTAAGTGGTCTCCCATCCAAGTACTAACCAGGCCCAACCCTGCTTAGCTTCTGAGATTAGATGGGATCAGGCGAGTTCTTTGTATTTAAATGGGCAATTTAGATTAATTTCTGTTTAGAAATGAATGACATATAGGTATCTGAGAAAAGTTAATTTATGAAGTACCTTTATTTGTATAACCTGTTACAGATAGATTCTCCTTATTTTTAATTCCAGTCTTAAAGAACCTAGCTCAGTATGTTTGTTCCAGGATGTTTGATAGAAAGTCTTATTTTTTTTTAAACTATATGATTGTTGTAATTAGAATTATCTTTTGGTGGGATTCTGTTATATTGAAACAAACTTACTTTTTTCCTTTACTTTGTTGAGCTACAATTTAACATTCTTAAAATGTATCCATTTTAATTGGACAATTAAATTTTGAGAGTTGTAACCTGTGCCCCCCAGTTTTGTATTACTTTGTAGTCAGTGCCCCTGCTGCACCCTAGCCTGCTTTCTTTTGTCATAGAGTAGTTTCGCCTTTAAAAGACAAATCAGTTTTCTTGAGGTACAATTTACATGCTTTACCCTTTCATTAATAGTTTTCCTGGTACCAAAATACTTATTTTGCTTCATCATTCACACATTGCTTTGCTTTGAGATGTGAAGTGGTATATCATGATGTAAGTCTTGGAGATGAGCTTTGATGCCATATAGTCTTAAGTTTATATGTAATTTGTTAGTAAATTCTCAGTTGAGAAGATCCTGCAATATCTTTTTAGACAGTGTTTTGTAAATAGGCATCATTAAAGCATGACAATTTCATTTGGTGACTTGTATATGCTGGATGTTTGAATTTTTCGATGCCGCTTATTTTCACATGGCTAAATTCTAGTGTCTTTGCCTGAAGATACTAATTTATTTTCATGAGTTGTTTTGCTATTTTGGTTATGGATTCCTTCTCTTACTTTCTTATTCCCTCTTCCTCTTCTTCCTGGAATAGTAAACCTAAGTTAAATGAAGTGATATTGAACTGCAAAAATGCTTTGAACAGGTGTTAATGTTATTTACATAAAAATAATAACAGAAAATTTTATTTATTAAATCAGTATAAAAGCTTAATGTTCTTGTACCTAAAAGAATATTGTCCAATTAAAATAATGCCATGGGTAAACCAAGAGCTATATAGGAAATGTAATGGATTTTCAGTAACTCAAGAACTAGAGCACAGAGGATGTAAAATGTCAATGGAAATATTTTCTATAGTACATTGTACTAAATTTCAGTGATTCTTAATCTTGAAAATCAAATAACTGAAAACTATTTCCAATTGCTGCTACTAGATGTGGTACCCAAAATGATTAGATGTTATTTTGTCTCCTGAGTTTAGTGACTAGGACTAAAATTATTTACAGTATTTAAAAAAAAAATAGCAGTAGAAACTAATTAGAGATCCAAAATACTTCAGAAGGTTTCAGGTACTTGGAAGTTATTTTTTTCAGATGTTTAATTTCTTTGTCTATTTTATTGGTACCGCTTTTGTCTTAGGGAGGGTGGAATATAAAGTTGATGCTCTGATGAGTACCATTCCCATAAAATTAGATAAAAGTATTATTACAATGTTAAGTCCTAAATATACTACAACATCCAGGAGTTCAGTTATTTTCCATGGAGTGATTACTTAACATATAGGCAAAATAGAGAACTTTTCTTTGTGACATGAACTACCAAGGTGGCTACAAAAATGAAAAAGATACAGTCTTCTTCCAGAAGATCCAAGTCCAATAGTAGTTACAAAATGTAAATACAATTGAATGATAAATGCTGTAATCATGATATATAAAGAATGGTTGACAATAGATATAAACTGCCTGGTATAATACAAAAAGCTTTATTGAGACAATGATAAGTGATAGTACTGAAAATAATACTATAAAAATATAATACTGGTTGTTTTTCTCTTATTACTTCTTTTGCCCTTGTTCTATCCAATATTTATAGTCTTATTGACTTATAAGAAAACTTTTGTTTCCTCCTATGTATTTTTTGTTTTATTGAGCTATAATGAATAACCTTGTATTAGTTTAAGGTATACAACATGATTATATGCACATGCACATATGTACTGAAATAATTTAGGACAATAAGTTTCGTTAACATCTGTCACCTCACAAGGTTACAGTTTTTTGTGTGTAATGATTAAGTATTTTTTCTTTAATTTTTTTTTTCATATAGTTTACTTTCTTTTTTAGACTGAATCTGGTTATGGATCTGAATCCAGCTTGCGTCGACATGGCTCAATGGTGTCACTGGTGTCTGGAGCAAGTGGCTATTCTGCAACATCCACCTCTTCATTCAAGGTTTGTGGTTGTGAATGCTTTAAGACAACTTAAATTAAGTTTAACATTGAATATTGTGAACAGAACTTATTTGATAGTTTTTTGAAAGAATTTTCTACAGTGTAATTTATTTGAAGTTATTACAGAATTGTTTTTAAGGGATAAAATTCATGACTCACACAAATAGAAAATGAACACATATCAAAGATTTTATTTCATTAATAGATAAGATGTAAAGAAAAACTTTTATTCAAAGGAGAATCTGAAGAATGCCAAAATGCTAATATAGGCAAAACTGGTCGATCTACAGATTAGTAACTAGTGTATCTCCACTGGACAAAGTTTATTTGCACATCTGTGGGCAAGAATCATTTACATTACTCTCAGTTTTCTACTACAAGAGTGGCAAAATAGCTCAAATGTAATGAAATTAAAGACTTCTTAAAAAAAGCAAAATCTTGTATATGATAAAACAACACCCTTTCCAAAGGGTTTCATAGATGCCGAAGGTTCCATAGATGACACTCACCATTCCTTTGAAAAGACACCTAGTAATATTTTTGCCCATTTCAAAGTCTTTCACAATTTTTCTTCACAATGCCAATAATTTGAAAAATATTAAATGTTATATTAGTAAATTGTCAGGCTTATCAATGTCTAGCCACAGTTAGTTTCAAGTGTATTCCTGGGAGTATACATTGAGCTTTACAGCTCTCCCTATTCCATGGCCCTTATTAGTAAGGTGTAGACCTTAAAAGATGATTAAATATCATAGGACTAAATGAATTCCAGGTTAGTTAACTTGGGTTCCCTTCCCCCCTACCCCCTGCCTTTTGTGTTTTGCAGAAAGGCCACAGCTTACGTGAGAAATTGGCTGAAATGGAAACCTTTAGAGATATCCTATGTAGACAAGTTGATACTCTACAGAAGTACTTTGATGCCTGTGCTGATGCTGTCTCCAAGGATGAACTTCAAAGGGATAAAGGTTAATTAGGCTATTGCCACTATTTTTACTTGGAGAATGAATGGATTTAAAGCCTCTTGATCTTAAAGGGTAATGTCTTTAACTGATAAAGGTAATTATAGTCACTTTTGCTGCAAACCCCCAATGTAACAGATTTCAGTGTCCATATAACTTGTGTACTTTAATAACTTCTTAAGTAATCTATCACATTTAACAGATTCCAGTGAAGATTTTTAAATGATTTTTAAACTATTTTATTAAAAATAGTATCTTATCTTGGTAATGTTGGGCATTTTATATGATTATGTCTAATAAATTTAATTTGCCCCATGATGGGTCTTAGAGACAAGCATATGTTTATGTTAAATTTTCCAGTCTGGAATTAGTCGATCTCTTTCTCCCTTTCTCTTCCTCTCCTTCTCCCTTTCCTTCTCTCTTTACCTTTCTTTCTCTCCCTCTCCAGCACTCTCCCTTCCTCTGGCCTTTTTTTCATGGAAGAGGAAATCAATAATAGAGCTACATATACATTTTTAAAAAATTTTTAATGAATTCCTTTTAAAAGAAATTGTTAACTTATGTGAATTTTGAACTTTTCTTTTGTGACTGCTAAACATATTACTAATGTTGTTCACATCCATTCCTCAATTTTTCTATTTTCTGTGAAGACAAAAGTGAACTACTCACAGAATTATTACTAAATAGCAGTAAGTTTATTCACTGTATAACTAGGTTGCTTGACATGGTTTTATTTCTTGGTCTTATTAAATGTGTTGGATCTGAGTTCAAAGTTTTTGTTTTTTTCTGTTCTTCATTCCCTCTTTTTGTGTTCTTTGGGATTTTTTTTTATAATACCATTTTTTATCTTTTTCGTTTTCTTTTTAGTTATAACTGTTACTTTAGTGGCTACTTTAGGGTTTATAGTATACACATTTAACTGATCACAGTCTACTTTCAAGTAAAATAACCACTTCAAGTAAAGGAGCACAAAGACTTTTTCCTGCCCCAGGTAGGCTTTGAATACTGTTTCCTGGAATCTTTTCAGTTGGTTCTTTCTCTGACTTCTAGAGTACTCTCACTTTGTATGTACTGTGAGTACTCTACTGAATACTTGAAAGGACCTTCTACCAGTCTCCAAGGTTCTCTCTCTATACAGTTCTCCCCTCTCTGGTACTCTGCTTTTGTCTCTCAGCTCCTTTTCCTCACCTCAGAGAGTCTACTGGGCTCCTTTTGTGTTCCTTCTTACTCTTTAGCTTGGAAATTCTCCCAGGGCAGTAAATTGAACAATCATAGAGCTCACATTTGTTCCCTGACACTCAGGGATCATTGTCCTTTTTTGCCTAATGTCCAGTGTCTCGAAAATCATTATCGCATATATTTTGTCCAGTTTTTAGTTGCATGCTAGAGAGTAAATTTAGTTTCTTTATTCTATCTGGCAAGAAGCAGAAGCCCATATTCTTCTTAAAATTTAGACAAAATTAAGTAGCTTTTGAAGTTCTTTATATTTGGTACACTTTTAAGTTTTTGGTTCTTTAACATTTGATGTTTATTTCTCTAAAAATAAAGGCAGTTAAACTTATATTTCTCCTTCATTAAAAAAAAAAAAGATACAATTGTCCCTAGGTATTCACCGGGATGTTCCAGGATGCCCGACTGATACCATAATCTGAAGATGCTCAAGTCCTTTATATAAAATGGTGTAGTATTTGCATATAACTTACACACGTCTTCCCTTATACTTTAAATCTTCATCTCTAGATTATTTCATCTTTAGATTACCTAATACAATGTAAATGCTATGTAAATTGTTGTTATAATTTATTGTTTAGGGAATAATGACAAAAAAATAGTCTGTACATATTGAGTACAGACACAACCATTGTAGGCCTAATTACATAGTCAGCAACAACACAACTTTTTTTTTTTTTCAATCTGTGGTTAGTTGAATTCATGGATACGGAACCCACAGATACAGAGGACCAACTGTATATACCCTTTTAATCAAATTAAACATAACACATCAGCTTTCATTTCAAATACCTCTTTAAAGAAAAACAGGATATATACAGAATTGGATTCCTTGTTTATTTTTAAATGATCCACATCAATAGTATATAGCATTTGAAGGACAAAAGTGATAGTGAATAGAGTAGAAGTTGGGATGCAGTTATAACCAGTTGTGTAGAAGATTTGAAAATGATTTTAAACATTAATCATGTTTCAATAAATAACAGTGATAGACTAATGCATTAGTTTGCTAGTGCTGCCATCATGAAGTACCACAGACTGTGTGGCTTAAACAACAAATTTATTTTCTCACATTTCTAGAGACTAGAAGTCTGAGATCAAGTTATAGTTGGGTTCTTCTGAGGGCAATGTGGGGAGGATCTGTTCTAGGCCTCTCTCATTCTTATAGATGTTCGTCTTCTCCGTGTGTCTTCATGTCATCTTTTTTCTGTAAGTGTCTGTGTCCAAATTTTTTCTTTATAGGAACACCAGTCATATTGGATTAAGGCCCACCATAGTGACCTCATTTTAACTTGATTGTCTCCGTAAAGCCCCTGTGTCCATATACAGCTATATTCTGAGATACGGGGGAGTTAAGACTTTGACATATGAATTTGGGTCAGAGGGGAACACAATTCAGCCCATAACAATTGATTTTTCTGTAATTGCTATTTTAAGAAAAATTTATGTTTTAAGAATACATGCTAGGAAAAGCAAAATGAGGACATAGACCTTAGTTTTCTTCTTTGACTGTAGATCAGAGTTGCTGACCTGAGTCTAAGGATCTCTCTAGATGCACTTTAATTAAATTATCAAAACTAAGTCTGTGACTTACAGAATTTTAAGAATCACTATTCTTCATTAAGTGTGTCAGCGAAATGGTAATAGCAAACTCTCATTTCATTTTATGTGATCATCGTTGTTTTTCATGTAAAATGTTTTATCAGAATTGCTAGTTAGGCAGTCTAAACATGATCCTCTGTCACTCACACACATACTCCCGTTAAGATTTAATTAACCTTTTAGGTCTTAGATACTCTGGGATTACAGAAGTAGAAGGCACTATCTTTAAACATACTGCTTGATTTTAAAACAGGACATATATATCACATTAAAGCCTTTAAAAGAAAGGTTCTTCTAATTTTTCTCTTCTAGTCATTGTTAGTTGAATGACTTGAAGCATTAACATTTCTCCATATCTGTTTCCTTAGTTGTAAAATGGATGTTATATCCAGCTCATATAATTGTGAGAATTAAACAAGAATATATATGTTGGCATTATGCTTATACTTAACAGCAAAAAATAATAGTAATAATAGCTGTTATTGATGTAGTTAATTTGGATTATTGCAGGGATAAGGAAAGCAGGAGTATGCAAGATCTAAGGGTGGAATTTAACATAATAGATTAATGTTAGTAAAGGAAACCAGTCTGATTGGGATGGAGAATTTGTATTAGCACAGTGATTTCAAACCATGTCATATATCCCTTAAAAGTGCCTCAGAAATGGACAAGGAGTATTTGGTTGGGAAGGGAAAGGGGAAGGCTGCTATTTTAGCTAGAGTGATTCTTGTTTTCATCAGTTTTCCATATTGACTATTAGGCTAGAAAAAGAAGGTCAAAAATCCCTGTTTGGTGCTACAAGGCTGTTAGATAGTTCGGGATACAAAAGTGAACCTTTAGTAACCCAAAGTAGGTGCTAAGATGAGTGAAGTTCAAACCTTGCTGTATTTAAGAGCAGTTAATCAGAGGAGTTTTGAGACAAGGTCAGGATTTTATCTGAAGATGATTACTGATTTAAAAACAGAACAGTGTGCTGTGTTAATGAATTTCTTAGAATTGACCATATTTGCAAATGGTTGATGAGAGAGTAAAAGAGCCGCAGAATCTGGGAATCTGATTAATCTTGGAACTAAGGTTTCTGCAGAGGCTTCACTGTGGAGATTGAATCTGTAGGAATGATAGACTTGGAAAAGTATGAGTCAGATATTGATATCAGTCAGCTAGGTAGAAATGAATAGTAGGTGTTAGTAGATAATAGCAGCTTATGATTTGAAAAGGTTGTTAAAAATGAGTAGCAAATTTTCCAAGTGTTAAAAAAATGAAGTAGCCCAATAATTAGAAAATGGCAGTACAGAATAAAGGCATTTTCCATGTGATTCCTACCATTTAGTCAAGGCAGGCAATAAAGAATAGGAATGGGCTTTACTTATATTGAAGAGACAGCTAAAGTAGGTGTGAACCAAATTACCCCTGAGGTAAAGAGATATAGGCAAGAAGTACAATAATTTAGAATGAATATTCTTTCTGAAGAGAGGGAGTTCCTTAAAAGGTAATTAAAGAAGCCATAAAAAAAGCTTGACAGAAAGTAGAGAATAAGGAGTCAGGGCTGAGGTTTAGAAATTTGCGTTAAGCATGGAGTATATAGTACATGGAGTATATAGTACAGAGGATTAAGTATATTAGGCAGTAAAAAAAGAAATGATAGGTACATAGAACAAAGAGGTACACAGAAGGAGAACACAGAGGATTTTCTTTTTTCTGTAACTGAGTAAGTTAAAATGGATGTCTAGGCACAGAAATTGATATTACATCTAAAAGTCATTATATTTCCCCTGCATTTTCAGAGATGGTAAATTTAAGAACTCCCGGAAGCAAGCTATGGTATCCTCTGCATGGAAGTTATTCTCTTATAGCCCTGCTCAGCCATTCTGCAATGGCTAGAAATTATGAATTTCTCCGGTAGATTTATGAAATTGCCCCAAGGTAGGAAAAGATAGGAAGACTAAAGGACAAAATAATTCATATCTTAATACCATTCCTTACATGAATGAGAATGGGTACAGTTTGTATAATAATTTATTAAAGACATTTAATAGCATATTTTTTGGACATACTTTAATAACCACTGAAAATACAGATAAGATCTTATATTCACAGACTCTAGAGTATATTGGCTTGGTTGAACATAAGAATATACTGGTTAATTTCTATTTCCTTTCATCCTGATATCTTTAAATATGTTTTATTTAGTGGTGGAGGATGATGAAGATGACTTTCCTACAACACGTTCTGATGGAGACTTTTTGCATAATACCAATGGCAATAAGGAAAAGTGTAAGTAGTACATTTCCCCCCGTCAACTAGATAAAATATACTTTCTAAAGTTATATAATATCTAACTATATAACAAGAATAATTATCTAATTGAGCAATATTTTTAAAAGCTGTGGAACTGCTAGAAAGTGAATGTTTCTTCTGGAAGAAGACGTGTAGGTAAAATACACATTCTGACAATAATAATGGCCACTGATTATCTAACAAAGACTTACTCTGAACTCTAGACATTGGCCTGCTTATTTTAGCAGTATTTGGACGAATCAGTTTTTAGAACTAAAAAAGTTTATTTCCTAGGGTAGAGACATTTTAAGGAACTTGAATGTTTCTTTAGAGTGTGTTTCTCTCTAACTTTTTTTTTCTCTCTACTTGATAAACTGGCATTGAAAAGTATATAATCAGTGTTATTAAAGGAAAATTATTGAAATAATTCTGATTTTACAGCATAATTGTGTTTAAACCCAGGAACAAAGCAGTTTATTTCATATACCAGTTTATTAATTGTTGCTCTATTTCGAATGGTTCACTCATTAAATAAAATTCTGAAGGACATCATGCTAAGAGAAATAAGCTAAGGACAAATACCACATGGCATCACTTATATGTGGAGTTTTAAAACAAAACAAAACAAATTTGAAATCTGTGATTAATAATCCGCGCTCCTGTTTTGACATGTCCTAAGAAGAAGCTGGATTCCTAAAAATTTTTTAAATTACAAGCCTTGCGGGGAAAAAAATAAATTAATCTAATTGTGCTTATTTTTGCTGAAGTTCTGAAAGAACATGAAAATCTATGGTTGTGGCATATTTTCAAATACTTTTTTAAGACTAATAAGCATGGGAAGAATTTTTTATTTTAGAAATCATATGGGAATATTCCATTATTGATACTAAAATTTAATGCTTTTCTCCACCACCTTTTCCTTCTTTTCTCCTCTTATTTCTTATTTTCATCATGGCTCTCTACTTTTTCCTTATAACCTACCCCTCTCCCAATCTTGCAAAGTACTGGCTTCTTATTACAAAGCCGTCCTTATAACTTGGGACCGAAATGGTGAACCTTACTGAGTCATCCAAATTTATATGTCTATATGGAATTAAAGGCTTTTGGGAGGAAGGTTCTTTCAGTTACATTTTAATTTCACAATGAATAATCTGCTTAAATAGAAAAAATACTTTGGATATTGGAAAAATTATTGAAAGAATGGAAATTATTGAAACTCACAAGTCCAACCTTCCATTCCACATTCACTCAATTACTACATCTACATTCACTGAAAGAGAATGGAAGCTTATTTTCTATAGAAATTGAACTGGAAAGTTCTAGATTCAGGAATACCTGGCACAGCAAGAGGTAGGTATATTGGCCTATCAAAGTTTTTAAGTGGAAATTTACATACTGATTATTGAAATTTAAGAGTCTCGCTAATTCTGCATATCTCTAAGAACTCTGGTATCCAGGGACTAAATGAAAATTTACACACTGAAAGATGCAGTTTCCAGCTCCCTTCTCTTACCCTGTTTATAGAATACCTATCAACCAGACTTTTTCTGATACAAAATTAGAAGATAACTCTGGAGACACTGAATGGACACAGTTAAAGACCTATAGAGATTTTCAGGAGTCTAGCATGAAAAAGCTGTCTTACTACCAGATTACTGTTTGATGAAGTCCACTAGTAAAAAAGCCCTGCTGGTGCATTTAGTGCTTCCAGTACCTAACCCCTAAATACGAACAGTTAGCTGGATCTCCATCCTGTGTGTTCAGAAGGAATTATTTAGTGCTTCCAGTACCTAACCCCTAAATACGAACAGTTAGCTGGATCTCCATCCTGTGTGTTCAGAAGGACTTATCCACCAGGTTTTTTCTGCCTCTGAGTATGTGTATCACATGATTATTTGGAGAACTTCATGTGTGGAAAGAAAAAACTTACCGCAGAAACTACAGGGATTCTCCCTTAGGTTGCCTGCTATTCAAAATAATGTGTTTGAGAATCTTAATGAAACGAAGGGATTACAGATCTCTCGGCTTCTGTCAGCATTTGTTTTTATTCTTGACATGCTGATGTTAGCTTATAGGTTCCTTGATTTTCTAAGTGTTAGTACCTTTAAAAGATTGTTTAAATGTGTAAAGTCAGAGGTCAACTGAAAGAACAATAAATCTGAGTATTAATTTTTGGAGCCTAAATACTTACAAATCTAGATTTATAGATTAGTTTATAATTTCTTCCATTTCTGTCCTTCATATGCATGGGTACTTTCACATATTTTAACTTCCTTTTACTACAATGTATCATTTTCCCAGAGGAAACTAAGGCATGTTACCTTGTCTCTGTAAGATGATTTTTCCCTTGTTTTCACTTGAGACATTTATATAAGTGTGTTCATCTAAATTTATCAAGTAATTTAGGGTTTTGCTTAAGTTTTTCCATCAAGGTTAACATAATTTTACAATATAAGGTATAAGAAACTTGGAGCAAAAATCAAAGTAACCACTACTTAGAGAAGCCCATTGAGTGACAAATTTCGATGATTTCTTGTCTTCATGACTTTCATTTCCTAACAAATGTAATATGAGAGAAATTTATTTCAGTGGCCTTATGTATGAGACACTAAATAACATTGAAAATATCAACTATTGGAAAGCTCAAAATTCTGTTGCATAACCCCTGTATCATTGTGAAAAGGATTTCAAGTGGTTGCTTCTAAAAGTAGGAAGTGCAGCTGAAGAAGTATATTTCTAGAATTTTTTCAGACATTTCATGTTGCTCTTTTATACTGACTCAGGTATATAAATTAGCAAATATTTAGCAGGGAGGACCCCATTATTATAGTTGTAAACATTTTCTCAGGACACCAATGACTCTTAATTTCTAAGTTGGTTATTAATAAAAAAAAATAGTTTAAAATAAAACCACAATCTTGGTAACGAGTGATAGAAAAGATAGAAGTTAAAATGATAGAAAGGATTTTTCGAAAATAAAAATGTTTTTAAAGCTTTATTGAGATATAATTAAAATACAACAAACTGCACATATTTAAGTGTACAAGTTGGTTAAGTGTTGAAGTTATCATGATGTTATTACCACCATCAAGATCATTACCATGTTCATCACCCTCAAAAGTTTTATCTAACCCCTTTGTCATCCCTTCCTTCTCCTTCCCAAGCAACCACTGGTCTCTTTTCTGTCACTATAGATTAGTTTGCATTTTCTAAAATCTAATATAAATGGTCTTAAACAGTTTGTCGGATTTTTGGCCTGGTTTCTTTCTTAGTTTAAGATTGATCATTGTTATCATATGTATCAGTATTTGATTTCATTGCTGGGTAGTATTCCCTTGTGTTGATATTCCACAATTTGTGTTTCTACTTATCTGTTGGTGGACATTTAGTTTGTTTACAGTTTTTGGCTATTACAGTTAATGCCACTGTGAACATTTATGGACATGAATTTTATTTCTCAGGGGTAAATACTTAGAAGTCTAATGACTAAATCATATGGTAGGGGTATTTTTAACTTTTTAAAAAACTGCCAAACTGTATTTCACTAGCCATATATGAGAGTCTCAGTTTTTCCAAATCCTAGCCAACACTTGGCATGGTCAGTCTTTTTAAATTTTAACCTTCTGATAGATGTGTAATGGTATCTCACTATGGTTTTTAACTTGCATTTCCCTAGTAGCTAGTGGTATTGACTATCTTTGCCTGTGCTTATTTACCATCCATATCTCTTTGGTGAAATGTGTATTCAAATCTTTTGTCCGTTTTTTTGTATTGGTTTACGTATTTTCTTATTGAGTTTAGAGATTACTGTATATTCTATATTGTACCATAGAATACACCAATATTCTATATTAATATATCATATTAAATATATATAGGGTACAAATACTTTATCAGATATATGCTTTACAAAGATTTTTCTCCCAGTCTGTGATTTGTCTCTTTACTCTCTTTAAAAAAAATTTTTTAATAGAAATTATATATATTTAAGGTATATAACATGATTTGGTATACATAGTAAAATGATTACTGTGGTCAAACTAATTAACATCATCTCACGTAGTTACCATTTTTGTATGTGTTAAGAACACCTAAAATCTATCTTAGCAAATTTTTAGTATTCAGTACAATATTATTAACTGTAGACACTATGCTGTATGTTGATAGATCTCTAGACTTATTTATTCCACATAACTGCAGCTTTCTCTTAACCATGTCTTCAGGAGCAGAAATTTTAAATTTTGATGAAGTACAGTTTACCAATTTGTTCTTTTATGGGTTTTACCTTTGTCCTCGTAGCTACATATGAGTTTGTAAAGTGGAAAGTGTCATTATTTAATTTATAAGAGTTCTATTACAGTAGTTTATTACTAGCTAATAATATAAGATACATTGTGTTCTCTTGTTTGCATCTGGTGAGCTTTAAGATATTTTTATTTCATTCAAAGGCTAACTCTAATATTATAAAATATAAACATAAGAACTATTGTGTGCATTGGTATTGAACTTGAATTTGGACATTTAAAATTTTTATATTGCTTTATTCAATTCTGCATTTCATTTTTACATATTTTTTAAATTCTACGTTTCTCAAAATGTAACATAGTTCTTGCCATAATTAGGTCCTGCCCCAACCTTGTCAGAATGTTATTGTTAAAGTATTACTCCTCCTGCCACTTTATTCACTGGGTGCAGCAGAGCAAATAGATTTCAGGAAATCGAATCCAGGAAAAAGACTTGAAAGTACATATACTGCCATAAGCTTCTTTGCTCATAGAATATGGATGGAAATTTTTAAATGTTGGCCAACAAAAGAGAAATTATATTCTGAAAGCTTGCTCTGACTTGTTAGTTCTCTAAACATTTTCTAATTTTAAGTTGTGATAATAGACTCACATGTGTGTAATTATTTCTTTATTAGAAAGATTTTTAGTGGATAACTTTCTTTTTCAGTATTTCCACAGGTAACACCAAAAGGAATTAATGGTATAGATTTTAAAGGGGAGGCAATAACTTTTAAAGCAACTACTGCTGGAATCCTTGCTACACTTTCTCATTGTATTGAACTAATGGTAAAACGTGAGGACAGCTGGCAAAAGAGACTGGATAAGGTAAGACTAGTTTAAAAAAAAAAAATCAGATTTTTATGTAAGTTTTATATATGGATTGAACATTAAACCAAATTAACTCTTTAGGGAAAAATCCATTGGGATTGATATAAGTAGCCGGTGGTACCACTCCTCTGAAACTGGGGACTTAAACTCATTTTCCTGAGAATCACCAGTTAGATATTCAGTTAGTGCACAATAGGCATTCTTGATAGGATTTTAGTATAACGATTTTTGTAATGATAATAGTAATGCTTTGGAATAGAAGTGATGAGCCATATAACATTATCCAGCTTTATTATATGATATACGAAACTGCATTTAAGTTATATGAATTACCTTAAACACTAATTTATGTAGTGAAACTTTAACTTATTGCATTCATAGCCATTTTTTCAAGGTCACTGTGATATTACTCAACATACATTATGTTGTTCATCAAACATTTGCTTCTTGTTCACCTTTTTTTGACCTTTGTTTAAACTGCCACACTGATAATAACACTACAATATGAATCTTTAGTCTCTAATATGAAGTATGAGTTAGTTAATTTATTTAGTAGGGGAACGTCTGTTTATAATTCAATGTCAGTAAAATAGTAAAATGTTAGAACCGAAACATACTTTAGTTTAATTCTAGTCCAGTGCCTTCATTTTATGGAAGAAGGAACTAAGGCCCAGTGACGTGTCCAGAAGTGTTAAGTAGCAGAGTTAGAAGAATTTTAATCTCTTCAATATTTCAGCTCTGGATACTAGGTCAGACCTCAGTACGAATTTTCTCATTCATCAGTGAGTCATATTGTTTATAGTATTTGAAGGTCTTAGCAATCCGAGCAAGATGCTAAGGAAAGCAATGTCATCACTGGTTTAATGGCAAAATGGCCACAGGATTTGAATAGCACCAATGTTTTTAAGAAAATCTCTATGTTTAGAAGAAAAGAGAATTGTTCAGAATTCTCACATGCAAGTAACAATAAGCCACATTGACTGACAATATGTGTTCTTTAAAAATAGGAAATGAAAACATTTATTTAAGGTATAAACATTTCATTTTAATTCTGGTGGAGTCGAACTCTTCTATATTCAAAGATTTCAACTCTATACCAGTGTATATCATTGAATTTCTAGAAGATACCCCATACACAAAAAATAATAATATATTGAGAAAACAAGACAGCCTCTTAAATCATAGACTAATGATTCAAGAGAATCATTCAACTCATTCCAACTACCTCTTTAAAACATTTTATCTTTAGTCTTTTAATCTTTCACTAAGGGTTCATCAGTCGTATCTCACCACACTGCCTAAAAATATTCTATTTATTTAAGATGTTTGCTTACATTAATAGACTTACATATGTGTAATTAATAGGCTCACATACTTTTTCACTTTCCCCTAAGTGTTTTTAATAATACTGCTGTGCTGTGTGTTTTTGTTTTGTTCATTTTTTTAAATTAAGGTATATTAATACATACAGTGAAGTATACCAATCTTAAGTGTACTGCTTGATGGTTTTGTGCATTTATATACACTTCTGTCACCACCCTTCAGATCAAGATATTTAACTTTTATAGCACCCCAGTACAATTGTTGATAGCTTTAGTGGTTATTGGCAAACAATTTTCTAAAGTGGTTATATCAGTTAAAACTACCAGCAATTGATGGAATTCCACTTGTTCTTCATCCTTGGTCGATGTTCTTCATCAACACTTGGTATTGTCAGTTTTTTGTGGGCATTATTGGTTTTTAATTTTTAGCCAATCTGCTGGATATGTAGGCCCATTTTTTCTTGAGTATACAAAAAGCACTTAATCTTTGGATCTAATAACCTAATTCATTGATTTGTACTAGCTTCATTTCAAACAGAGTATTTGGAAGTAGTGAGCTTTGTGTGATTTCAGTGTGGAATTTTTAGCCCATAAGCATTTGAGGTAAGGCATTTGACTAAAGGCATTAAGTTCTTTACAAGCTTGTTGGATTTCAGTATCAAATTTGACACAATGCAGCCTATTGTTATAGAAATAAGTTTGAGATCGGTGCCAGCACCAGCCTTTTTCTTTTTAGTGTTGACCTGGGTCTTTTAACTTTTTAGAGCTACAGGCTGTATCTATAAAAGGAGAGAGTTAAAGTAGAAATCTAAGCTCTTTTTCTGCTCTAAAATAGATTTAACCAGCAGTGGGAAAGTACAAGAAATATTTCTATCTTGGAATATAGTTTAGCATTCGTTCATTCTACTTATTGAGTTATTTTTTTATTAGCATCTATTACATTTTTTTCTTTATAACAAAATAAATATTGCTTTAATTGAGGAGAAACAAACGCATGAATATATTGTAGACATTTCTCTGGTACCAATTTATCTTTTTTAATGTAGATAATTTTGGCAGTTACTTAATCTATTTAAATACATAACTTACCTTTTAGGTGATCTTCGAGGTGATTTAAATGGTAGCTTGTGTATAATATATAGCCCAGAGAAAAGTGTTTTCTTTGGCAGATTAATATTCATTTTTCATAAAAGTGAAGTTATTATTTGGCCAAATCCTAAAATTCTGGTAAAATGCAGAGAAAATCCCCACTTCAAATGATAAAATTTTCATTTGCTTTTTTTAAAAAATAGGAAATCGAGAAAAGAAGAAGGATAGAGGAAGCATACAAAAATGCCATGACAGAACTTAAGAAAAAATCCCACTTTGGAGGACCAGATTATGAGGTATGAAGTTACATTTTGATTTTAGAATGAGAAATATATAGGGCATATCTATAATAAAAGTGATTAATTTTTAAATAATACTTTTGTAACTTTTCAATAGTCTAAATATATAATTTGTTCTTCAGTGTTTATTTTCATTAAATGTGTATTCCATAATATATAAATACTAGGCTTACTCTGAAATATATATTTTTTTATTGCCTCCAAAGTTTAATATAGGCTTTAAAAGTCTCATTATTAGGCCTATCCACTTTATGGTACAAGTTTTTATCTCCCCTGTCAGGATGATAATTTTTAATGTCATAATTCATTTTTTTTTTTAATAAAAGCAACTTGCAGAGGAAAACCTGAGTACTTTATATAGACAAAAAATTTTAGTCTGTGCTGTGTACTGTGAGCTCTTATCTATAGCAAAGCATGAACTGTTCTGATTGCTTTGCCTTTATGTTTGAAAATATGTGAAACTTTTTTCCCTTTTATTTACTTATTAAGCAGTTAATAAAATGTTCCTCTCCATATACACACATATATTAAAATTTTATAAGCTATTATTTCTATCATATTTCTTTAGAGAAAAAAGTGCAAGACATATATCTGGTAATTGTCATTATCATTATTGATATTCCTGAAATGAGCATTTTTTAAATGGAGTGGCAAGGAGTATCTCTGAGAGAGAAGTAGGATGATAAAATAATTATAGTTAGATTATATTTAAGAAAATAGAAGAACAATTTCTTGCCATTTTTGTTCTAGAAATGAAAAAAAAGCTGTTGTTGACTGAGTATTTTTTTATGTTGGAATTGATGATTTCCAACTATGGAAATTCACGATAATTTAAATATTTTAAAATTATTAAGCTGTCAACTTGTTCCTTCTATAATGTATAAAAATTATATACTTAGCAATCCTCTAAGGCTTTAGAAAACTAGATTACTTAAATATAAGCTATTTTAATTTTTATTCTGAAGCTAAGTAGATTATTTTGCCATTTTAGGTTTGGGGGAACTATCAGCTTTAAAAAATTACCTTATTTTTTCATATTATAAATAAAATAAATGTTTATTATAGGAAGATTATAGAAAATACTAAAAAAGCCCATGTTTTTAATTTAACTTAATTAAATTAAATTAAATTGGTATATGGTACCAATTTATCTTGGTGTCAATTTAATTAAATTGGTATATGGTACCAATTTAATTATATGGTATCAATTTAATTAAATTGGTATATGGTACCAATTTATCTTCTACCAGCAATATGTAAGTACAAATGTATACTTATCTCTACTTCCGTCAACACAGATTTTTTTAGAAGACTAAGAGTAGAGTGGAGAGTGGAGGGGCCTTGTGCTAGGTATATGTGTTTACTAGTTTTAAATCCCCCCCAAAAAAATTGTTTTATTTATTGATGTGATTTAGGCTTTCTTTAAAAAATATTTATTGATCATTTGTTGTCTTTAATGACTCACTTATACATGTCCCTTGACATTTTTCTTATTATTAAGATTTGCTTTCTTTTTTTTATTCTCTTTATTGATTTAGATGTGTAGAATTGGCTTTTCATTTTTCAATTATTTCATTCCTTTTGTAGTATTTAAAAAGTGTTTTTGTTTATTTTTATACTTTCATATAATTAATCCCTTTTTATATACTTACCTTTACATTTGGTATCATGCTTAAAAAAATATTCTCTATTTCAAATAATTATTTGTATTTTCTGGTTTTTTAAAAAAATTTTAATAGTCTCTTCAAAATATATTGTTGGTATATCTAGATTTTTAAGAATTAAGATATAACGTAGGACTTTTTTATTCCAATGGTGTTGTTGACTAAACCATATTTTTTCACTCATTCGAAATGTACCCACCCTCTTTTAATGAAGAAAATGATTAAGGGTGCTTCAACCTTTTTCTTACCAAATCCTTGTGGTATCGAGTTAAATATACAATTCTTAAAATAGGGCCAGATTTTACACCTTTTTTCTCTTCCTTTTAGAATTTTGAACCATCCATATTTTCTTGTGTCAGCACTACACCTGCATGGATTTTAGACATTAATTCAAATATGACTTTATAGGTTCTCATCAAACATTCATGATATTCTAATTATTAAACAAATTTTAAATATTTCTGTCATCTGTAGCCTCAGAAATTAATTTATAATCTTAAATTCATTTCTTAAGACTTCTTATACTGCAGGGTACTGTGCTAAGCATGAGGGATATTGGAGGGAACAAGGCAGACAAGGATCCTGCCTAGGCCCACCTTAATGTATACTAATGGGAATATAGACTAGATAACAGGCAAATAGAATAATGTACCTTATAAAACACATTTAACACCGAAAGGGATGGCTTCCCAAAGGAAACAACATCTTAGCTGAAACCTTAAGAATGAATAGGTTGAGTAGATTTTAACCAGGTGAATAGCCTAGAAAGAAAGTTGCTGGGGGATTGGGATGGGCAGGGGGCTCAGGAAAAAAAAAACAAAAACAAAACCAAAAAACATTTAGAGACCAGAAGCAGGAGAGCATTACAGATCCTTAGAAATAGCTTTTAAGCAAATGAAGTCTTCAGATTTTACAGTTTAGAAAAATCATTCTGCTTCTTGCAGTGAGGAGAATGTGTTGAAGTTGACAGTTGTGACAGGGGCTTGGAGACTTTTTCAGTATTAGAGGTGAGACTTGAAGATAGCCTAAATTAGGATAGGACAGTAGGAATCGACATGGACAAATTAGGTATTTGGAAAATATAATTGAAGGGTATGATGATTGAAGGAAGGAAAAGGGAGAAGTCCAAGAACAGGCCCAGGTTTCTGCCTTCATCAGATTGGTGTGAAGTTAGAGAAAGAACAGGTTTTAGACATCTTGCATGTGATTTGAAGCATTCACCTGAGGAGGTCTTATATATTATTAGATGTGAAGATCTTAGGAGAGGGATGGACAGACTGTGAATTTGGGAATCATCAGATGATGACTGAAGCTTTAGAAATGAAGAAGAATGCTGTGGGGAGAGCAAGTGTAGAACCTTAAAGAACACCCACATTTAAGGGGTAAGCAGGGGAGGATGAGCCTGCACAGGAACCCAAAGAAGAGTGCTTATTTAGTAGAGATGAACTTGGAAATGAGGAATCCAAGGATAAAGATCTCTTCAAAGAATCATTAGAAATGTTCCCAGTAGGGCAAGTAAGATCGAGACTGTGGAGTGTCCTGTAGATTTAGCAATAAATAGCTTTTTTCCTTGTTAAGCGTGATGAGATAAAGGTTTGTTTTTTTTTTTTTAAGTTGTTTTTTAATAAAGGCAATTTCATTGCAATTACTTTAGTTCTCTGTCAAATTTTCCATCAAAGGAAAAATGTACTTGTCTTACTTGCCCATTTCATGTCATACTAGAATTTTTAATTTTTTTAAATTAAATTTACTGGGGTGACATTGGTTAATAACATTATATAAATTTCAAGTGTACAGTTCTATAATACATCATCTGTATATTGCATAGTATGCTTACCACCTGAAAGTAGAATTTTTTAATGCTATATTTCTTAATTAGTAGATGGAGACTCTGACGTGATTGCATAGGTTAAATGAGTATTATAATTTTTAAAAGTATAGATGTGATTGTGATCAATACAGTTTTAAAAATCATTAGAAAATATGTTTGAGCTCAGAGTAGGTTTTGACTATTTTGTATAAGAGACCAAAGTGATACTGCTGTCATTTGAGTGTCTTTGAAATGTTTTAACTTTAAAAACAGAATCCCACAGAATAGAGGCCTCCGAACGTTGTTACTGCTCTTTTTTATGATCTAGCTAGGTATTAGATAGTTATATTCACTTAACGATAATTTATAGAGATATATAGTATTTTGTATGTATGTCATAGTTGAATAAAAAGTTTTTGTTTTTTTTAAATGGGTTGTGAGGAAGTCCTCATAACTTAAAAAAAAAACTGTTGCATTAAATCAAGATTTCTCATTTACCTGTGCCAAATGACAGGCATTACACTGTAGTTCCCATCACCCTTCCTTCCTGTATGACCCCAAGTTAATGATGGGATGGGATGATGTTGCTGCTTTTTCATGAAGTAGTGGTGACTTGGGATTATCAGTCTAAATGGAAAGATTCCAGACAGACCAGCAATCATTCATATGTCATTTTATGTATTTAAAAATTTAGGGAAACTTAAACCCAAGCCTACCTTTTCAGCCTCCACTTTACCATAACATGAAGCTGTTATTCAGCTTAGTCACTTATTTTTTTCATCACAGCAGGAGCATACTTGCTTGTTTTCATTTTGCTATTGTTATTTATATTTTTCTGATACAACTGATGTTTCACTTGCATGAGAATCAGTTGGAGGACTTATAAACATGCAAATGCCTGCTCCATCCAATGCCTACTAAAAAGTAATTTCTGTGTATGGGGGCCTGGGAATTTTTGTTTTAACAAGTTCCCCAGGTGATTGAGAACCTTGCTCTTCCATCTAACCAGGCTTTCAAGTGTCAGTTCAACTTTTCTTTCTCCATAAATTGTCTTTGCTTGGGAAGATCCCCTTCAGAACTCCTTTCTGCACTTCTTATTACTATAGATCTTATACAACTTTGTACTTACTTTCTACAATTTTATATGGTTTCTGTTCACAAGTTCTCAAGTTACAAGTACTCAACCCTGCCACAAAAGCAGGCATAGATAATACATAAATGGATGAGCATGATTGTATTCCAGTAAAACTTTATCTTCATTTTATGTAATTCTCACATGTCAAAAGTGTTATTCTTTTTTTTCCCAACCATTTAAAAATGAAATTCTTAGCTTAAAGGCCATACAAAAGTAGGCCATGGACTGGATTTGGCCCGTGGCCATAGTTCTAGATTGTTGCCCTAACACAGTGTTGGTCAATATACAGTAAGTGTATAGGTCCTGAGTGAGTGAATTGTTATACCCATGATTTTGCACAGAGCATGTGTTGCACATCTTTTTTATAATATGATCTAATGTACTCACTGGTTCATAAATATTTGTTGAGTCGCTTTTCACCTTTCCTCAAGTTAATGCCAGGGTTATCTGTGTTTTCCATTTTCTTAAATGAACTGCGTTTTTTTTTTTTTCTGTTTTCAAATAGGAAGGCCCAAATAGTCTGATTAATGAAGAAGAATTCTTTGATGCTGTTGAAGCTGCTCTTGACAGACAAGATAAAATAGAAGAACAGGTATAACTGTTATTAAAAATTCTAAAACTAGGTATTCCTTGATATGTTATTTTATATGAAAAGAATTTGAAAATCGTTAAACCGATAAACTAGACAATGAACTGTATGTCTATACTGAATCACAAATGTAGACAAATCTTTGTCACTTCCTTCATCGAGTAATTTCCAAGCAATAGAAAGACCAATGAATGATACTTTAAAGGAAACATGCATAATTAACACAAAATTAAATGAAAATATTCTGCCTGTTCCCTTTGAAGTTTCCAACTTTATCATTCTATTAATATAAAGCATATATTTACTTGGAATGAAACTGTCTCTTAGATTTTCTCTTTACCACCGAGCACCATATAAATTCGAAAGGAAAATGACCAAGAATTTATTTTTCTTCTAAATTACTATTATTCCATTTTTATTATCTCCTTTATTGCTTTCACTACCTTCACCTTCAATTACTTTCTCACTTTTAATTCTGCTCAGTATTTTATCACCATTAAATTTACATCAGTTATACCTAGCTTCTGTGGAAATTGAAGGAAAGCATTTCTTAAACCTTTAACTTTGATTTCAAGATTAATTTGATCTTTTGCCTTCAATGCAGTTACCACATATTACCACTAGAGGGTACTTAAGGATGAATTTTAGTTTTCCCAGGACTTTAAGCATCTTGCAGATAAACGTGTATCAGTTTTATACTACAGATTAATTTGCATTAAAAAAAGTTGACATGTTCATTCTCTATCATTACTAAGTCAGTCATGGCCGTTATGCCCATTTACTGGCTTATCTACCTGAGGATAAATCAACTGCAATAGTGACTAATTTTCTCGTTCATTTTTCATTTTTTTCTTCTAAATCAGTAATAAAAAGTTCATGTCACATTAATTTATAAAGCTTTTTGCTCATTTTTTATACCTGAAAGATACTACATAGCACTCAGTAAGAGCAGGAATTTTCAGTTCCTAAATGAGCTCTAATTTTGGATGCCAAAAGTATTACCAGAAGTAGCATCATCATGTTTGTTTTTTTAAGGTTTGTTTTTTTTTTTTTTAATATATATGTTGTTATGGGAAGACTAGTGAACTGTGAGGTCAAGACAACGACATCTATAATGTCCATAAAACGATTCCCCTACTTGCTCCCTCCCTCCCCTGGCCCTCCACTTAGCCACCATATTAATGTTAACTGCATTCCCTGTACTGTGCTCCCTATCCTTGTGCCCAGCTATCAATTACTAATCCTTCACCCCATTCTCCTAGTCCCCCAACCCCATTCCCCTCTGTCTGTCACCAAATTGTCCACTTTATTTGTGAGTCTGTTTTTGATTAGTTTGTTTTTTTTGTTCCTTTGATTCCACGTGTAAGTGAAATCATATGATATTTATCTTTCTCTGTCTGACTTATTTCACTCAGCATAATAACCTCTAGGTCCGTCCATGTCATTGAAAATGGTAGGATTTCATTTTTTAATGGCCGAGTAATATTCCATTGTATGTATGAACCATGTTGGTACAGCCGCTATGGTACAGAGGTTTCTCAGAAAATTAAAAATGTATATACCTTTTCACCCAGCAATTGCACTTCTGAGTATTTATTGAAATAAAACCAAAACAATAATTCATAAAAATCTATGCACTCCAATATTTGTGGCAGCACAATTTACAATAGCCAAGATATGGAAGCAACCTAAATGCCCATCAACAGACGATTGGATAAAGACAGCTTTATTCTTATTCTTAGTTATACTGGTGACTATGTACCTATAAACATATTACTTAAATTCTCTGGGCCTTGGTTTTCTAATCTGTGAAACAAAGAGTTAGACAAGATGATTCAAATCATCCATTCTGGCTCTAAAATGCTGCTTTCCTAAATATCAACACAGTGGTTGAGTTGAAATGGAAGAAAATCAATGAAAACTTCTATAAGCTTTAGGAAAAAAAAATATTTATGGAGCTATTAACTCATTTAATTTCAGTCTATTTTTGACACTTTGGTAGATATTCTACAAAACAAGTTGTTAAACAGACCATGATTTTCCTTGCCTAATAACTAGGCATGCCAGTATGACAAAGATGATTACAATGTGTCAATGCTGTAGAGGTTGTAAGCTTCAGTAATCCATGAAATCAGTTCCAAAGGTTCAGATCAATTCCCTCATTGTATGCAGTGGATATTGCATAGGGCTTTCAACAATTCAGCCACTATATAGGTATTCTTTAGTGACATATTGAGTTTACATTATTTGTTTTACATTATTTGCCAACAAAAGGAAAGGTATGTGCAATAAAGTGGTGAGTGAGAAATGAGATCTTTGCAGTTATGTGCACATAGTGTTGAATAGAAATTAGCAGTTGTCTTCTTCATAGTTAGAAAGATATACATATGTTTTTTGGAACATAACGGACACAGTGATATTGGTTCAAATGATACAGCCGTGCAGGTCTCAGATGAAGTAGAACAATTGGAATAATTTGGTCAGAGTTTGGATAAGAAAATCAGCAGTGTTAAGATTGATTCATGGTAATGATGTCATGCTGGTATTGAGAGTCTGACTAGAAGCAAAATCAAAAAACTAATCCCTGGTCTAAGGTAGTAGCTGTGGACTCCAAAAGAAGAGATTGAATTGGAATACATAAAGTAAGTGTCAGGATTTGGCAAGGCTTGTATCTTTAGATTAGTTTCATAATTCAAATTTTTATAAATACTAAAGTGTTCAATAATTAAATGTTGGTAGTTCCAGATTATGTTATCTATTCTTTAGCTGCGAAATACACTTAAAAACCTTCCCATTCTAACATTATATGTTTTCTTAGTCACAGAGTGAAAAGGTCAGGTTACATTGGCCTACATCCATGCCATCTGGAGATGCCTTTTCTTCTGTGGGGACTCATAGATTTGTTCAAAAGGTAAGCTAATATTAGAGTTTACTGACGTATATGTTGTTTTGTTCTTCACTGTTGATTAGAACTCTTTTTTGATAAGTTTTCTCCCTTTTCTTGAATTCGAGTAATGAGATTTTTTGATATTATATGTTTTCTTCCATATACATCTTCCAAAACAAAAATCTTCCTCTGAACATAATTTCTTTCTTTCTTATTTAAGGGGAAAAGAGGTTTGGGGGTGGATAGGGAGTAACCAGTCCAAAATAGTTAACCAGAAGCATAGCCAGTTATATTAAATTTCTCTTTTCTTTGGGTTAAGTTGTATTATTTTATATTATTAGAATTACTGCATTCTTCTTAGAAAGATTTTGGAGCATAACACATAATAGGTACATGAAGTCAGCACTTGCTGCTGAGCTTGTTTCATATAGTGCTTTGTTCTCTCTTTCTTTATCTTGTGTTTGGAAGTTGGTACTGAATGCTCTGTTGTGCCTTTGTTCTGATTACTTGGTTTTTTCTTTGTCTGTCTCTGGTAGCCCTATAGTCGCTCTTCCTCCATGTCTTCCATTGATCTAGTCAGTGCCTCTGACGATGTTCACAGATTCAGCTCCCAGGTACTGTATGAATGTATAGAGTGGACTTGAGTCTTTCTGTGCTGTATTTCAGTCTGCTTTCCCAGTTCCTAGAAATCTTTTGGTTAGGCCACTTGTTTTGGTTTTGAATTTTAAATAGTAACAATAAGCACTAAAAAGGCCTTCATTACCTACTAAACAGTTCCTCTATCAGGCTTGCACATGCCTTTTGTATCCTCTACTTTGAATAGCTTAGAATTTTACTATATAGGAGGAACTCCCGAAAGACTTCAGATCAAATTGAAATAAGTCAAAGGTATCTGGTTTTAAAATATCATGTAATATCTATTTCTTCAGATAGGATTCAGCATTTTATTTCACATTTATATTAATATATACAGGATATGTTATAGCATAAAAGCAGGTGTCAACAGTCTCACTTCTAATCTAATTTAAATATAATTATATTCAAGAGGAAAATAATTTTTTATTTTATTTTTTATTTTTATTTTCAATTATAGTTGAAATTCAGTATTATATTAGTTTCAGGTGAGCAGGAAATACTTTTTAAATAATTTTTCTCTCATTACCATTATAATGTTGAGTACTGTTGAACAGATTGTACTTTTCTTATGCACATTATCTTTGGATATTATAAATTAATATTCCTGTTCATATGCTAAATTTATGAAAATTGGTTTTAATTGGTTAGTTGGCATCATTGTAAGGGTTTAGGAATTTATGACAGGAAACTGGATGCTTATAGTCTCTTCCCTCAATAAAATCATTGGAGGAATATTTTTTAGCATCAACATTAGTTGGAAAAAAAATTTTTCTATCTTCACATCTTTACAATTCAGCTTTGTGTCTATGTAATGATTACAGTTTATTGCATTACATTATGTTATCTTAACCCAAATTCCCAAATTATTGAGTTTAAATCCTGGTTAGCTGCATGATATTGGACAACTTTCCTAACTCTTTTATACTTCACTTCTGTGATTTAGCTAGGACTCTGATCTACCTAGGGCCGGGCATGTAATAAGTGCTCAGTAAGTGAGCTTTTATTAACATTATAATAACATAATTTCTTCGAGCTAATCAAAATGATCTGTGTCATTTTTTTCCTCAATATTCAAATAAATTTTTAAAAGTCATAATTTAAAACATTTTATTAGTTTACACATATGAATAAAATTTACATTCATTTTTAACTATACAGTAAAGAAGAAAATAAGAATCAAATTGTTTTTCTGATTTTTGCAGCTTTTTTCTCCTTAAATGTTTTTGAGAAATAGATTAATTAACCTTTTAGAAATCACATGTAGCCAAACTTATTACAGTATTTCTTACCTTTTGCACATCCATTTGTACATGCTTTTTAAAAAATGACTCATATTCACAATAAATTACTGACTAAACTTGATAATACTGGGAGACTTTGGTTTATCCTGCCAAGTTCCACCTTGCATTAAAATAGTAAAATAAACTAAAATCCGTCAGTACTGGTCACCATTTTCTCTTAAAATATAGGAACACATAGTCTATAAAGGAAAGAAAATGTAACGAGAGCAAAAAAAGAATATAAGCCACTAATAGGTGCATAAGAATTAGGACTTCAGAACCCAGACCTGTGCCCTATCTGTAGATCTATAGAAGACTGAAAGCCTTCAAGTACAGATGAATATATCACTGAGAAGCAGGTGCCCAGATTTCTACAAGTCTTTTGCCAAGTCATAGCTTACTTCTTTACCTAATTTTTTGTGTAACTCATGTATATAAGTTGAGAAATTCTTTGCGGTGGGTTTTTCCCTAATATATGATGCTCATGATCAGATGCTGTTTTAGCTTTAGATTATTAAACTGTGTTATATGCCAGATATTTGGTGTCATTAGCAGACTTGGGCTCTGGCATTTAACTGTTGATTCTTTTGTCTTTGACATCTGTATACAAGTTTTGGCTCCTGACTGCTTTGTTCTTGTTGAAATCATGTTCATAATCCTAATTAGGTAAGATAATTAAACAGAATTGAGAGATGCCCTGAAAATAACTTCAAATAAAATAAGTGAATTTATTAGGAAATTAGTGGCAAATCATGAATCTGTCTGATGGGCAGATAATGGGAATGCAGTAGCTCTAAAAGTGTACAGAAAGTAGAAAGGACTTGAATTTATGAATGAATCTTTTTGTCACATTTATTGGCATAACACAGTTACCATCTAAAGATGTCACCGTAAAAGTCAGAGGGAAAAAAAATCCACTGTTGGGGGGGGGAAAAAATCAAAGGGTTGGCAATAAATCTGTGAGTTAATCTATGATGAGCATCATTGTAAAAACAGTTCTTTGTAAAGTTCTTTCTGACTTTACGTCCATAGTAACACATTGTTGTGGTAATTATTTATTTCATCCTTCCTTTTTTTATTGTACAGTAATACATGCTATTTAAAGCAGAACTAGAAAGTAAATAAAATTAAAATACTACATCACTATTAGTATTCTCATACATATAAAAAATCATATTGATAAATACACATACTTTAATTGTTTTTTCCTACCGAAGTAGGTAATTCTATATATACTAATTTGTAACCAGCTTTTTAAAAAACATATAATTAGGCCCATCTTTCTATCAGTAAATATAGATCTATATCTCCTCATCTATTTATGGATATGCATACTGAGTCTACCTACTCACCTAATATTGAACATTTCATTTATTTTCAATTTGTCTCTATTATAAGTAGTGCGACATAGGCACTCTTTTATATGCAGCATCTTTATATATACATCTTTGTACACTTATTCGATTAATTTCTTAGACTATAGTCCTAGAGGTAGAATTGTTAGAGCAAAGCCCATGTGCACTTTTAAGTTTTTTTGTTTTTTTTTTTTTTTAATGTGGATTACTAAACTGTTCATTAGAAAATTTGAACCAGCTACATTCCCAGGTCAGTTTTCTTTTGCTGTACTGACACTGAATATTATAATTCAGTTAATTTTTGCCAGTCTAATACACTAAAAGTGATATTTTTGCTTCTTGGCTGTTTGCCTTTCTTTTTGTGAATCGACTTCATGTCCTTGGCCATTTTTCTTTTGGGTTAACAGTACTATTAACTTGTTATTAATAAATTATTCTATTCAGCAAATCTCTATATGACTATGACTCTAATAATAAGCATAGTTGTATTCTTTTCACATGGGTGAGAGAAAGAGATCTAAGGTGTGTTTGAGCTCTCTCAGATTTATTTTTGTTCAGTAGACTTTGATTCATTTCAATTTTGTTGTGCCATCAAAGGGCAGTTTTCTTTTAAAATTTCTGTATTAATAATGTTAGAAAAATCTAACTAGACAGCCTCCTAAAATGGCATATCAAATGATTCAAATGTCAGGTGAAAGAAAAGGTTGTAATTGGAGTACCATCACCTCTTATTTCAAATGTGTTTTATCTCCATTTTTTTGATAGTTCATTTGGTATGAAGATTCTGTGTATGTCAGCTTATCATTTTCAACTTTAGGTCCAAAAAAATCAAGGACATGATTCCTGAAATTATGTTTAGTCTATTTAAAACTTACAAATATAGTTAAAGCAGGAGAAACCTGCTTTAATAATTTGATATCATCTTTTTTTTTTTTAAGTAATAGGTGTTACTAGTAACATTATTTCCTAGTATATCAAGTTTTGATCCTAATAAAATGGTAAATTTGGCTTGTGCTTATTATTGTCATCCAACTTAATGGTCTGTAGTTTCTCACTTAATTTTGATATACAGGGTCATAACTGAAAACAGTAAATGGAGTGGATCATTAGGTTAGACCTGTAGTGTCTATGGTACAAATCATCAAGTCTCTGCCCCTGTAGTAAGATAGGCTACTTCATATTTTATTGCCGTAAACAAAAATTCATTATAGTAAGATTTTATCTGTATCACCTCTCTTGTTAACCTTAATATTATTACCTGGAGGAAGATGCCATAATGGATAAAGATTCCATGATGAGGACTTTGCAGAGATGGTTATTACAGTAATTGAGTACTTCATTCATTTCATTAATTTCCTAGAAGCACAGCACTGAATACAAACTTGTGTTGTTTCTTTGTTGGACTTTTTCAAGCCTTCTTAAGTCAAGGAAGTAAATAAGAGTAGAAGACTGAAAACTTCCATAGGTGCAGTGGTAACTGTGATAGGAATGTCATTAAACAGAACTCTCCATTTTTTAACAGAATAAAATCCTTCACATTATTCTTTTACAAGTAATCCATTAAAAATGGTAAAAATGGGGCTTATTTTGGGGAAGCGTTTCTTTCTGCCTCTGATTTCATAATATATGTAGGTGTTCTTAACTCCCAGTTCGACCTAAAAAGTACATATTCAGATCTAAAGATTTTTAAGGTCTTAGAATCTAAAAAGGGTAAAAATTTCTCCAAATCACAATGGGACACAGACAAATAAATCAAGGCAGTGCTACTGTGAGTTTTATTTATTTAGGAATACCAGCTGGAATTTTGTTATTCCTCTTTGGTAAATGAGGTACATTTTGAATATATTCATAACTTGGAATCCCACATTAATTATCCTTACCCTCTTAAAGCATATTTCAAATTATAGAGGCACACAGGTTTTTCCAGCAGTCCCCAAAGTTATGTTTTCTAATTTGGGCTTTATAAAATTATAGAATGTACTATTAGTCACATTTAAAATTTTCTCTCAACTCTGCAACCCAACACCATTCACAGTGTTTTGAGGATTATGAATAAAGAAATAAAATATTATGTTAGCATTTTAGTACAAAAGTAGATTGTAGAATCTCAATTTAGAAAAATGATAAAAGCATTATCAAAAACCTTTTTTGTGATAATTGCCAATTAAAGAGTCACATAAACTCATACCTACTTTCAGTAACTAAAAATGCATTCTGAGATCCAGAAAACTTGTAGCAGAAATACATATTACAATAACATATTATTAATATCCTTTTGTATAGAACACTTATAATTTTAAGTTTCTGTCCCCAAACCATTAATTTTGTATTTAAAGTATTTATTTCAAAATATGTGTAAACCTGGTTCTTGTTCTCTAATAAACGCACAACACTTTATGTAAAATAAATAGTTAAACTTAGGAATAAAAATTGAAGTGTTATATACGTATTATATACATATTTTCCAATTCTTTTCTACCTTCTCTTCTGTGCTTATTACATAAAATTATGTGTAAAAGCTAATATTCCTAAACTTAGAGCTTAGAAAAAAAGTGTCTGTGTAGATGGTAAAGAAGCGGTTTCTTCAGAGACAATCTTTATCACTTCAGTTCTGTTTTATACATTTCAAACTTTGCAAAGAACTCTTATGTGAAATCTTACCATTAAATCTGATTGAGGATTCGGGAGGTGTGAAATATTCGACTTTATTTGCTTATATAAAATGTGTAGGGTTAATTTGATAGTTAAAAGCAGAGGTTGCAGTTAAATTTTAGTAGAAGAAATTTAGAAATTTTTTCAAATGAACTAAAAGGTGATTTTTTGTAAATGTTTGCATATATGAGTATTAGCATTGTCCCTGAAAGAATTTAGAACATGAAATTGGAATGAAATAAATGAGGGGGTTGATTATTTTATAAGTTGGCTTATAGTTATGATAAAAGAGAAGTTTATCAATGAAAGAAAAGTTTTGTTACTTTTTTATAGAGAAAATCTTAACATATAATGATCTTTCTAATATTTCTATAGTCTTAAATATAGGAACACTGGACTAGATAGTCTCTTCGTGCTCCATTTACCCTTAGTGTTCCATGATTTTATCCTTTAAGATGTCATTTCTGTAAAAATTTTATAGTAAAGGAAGGAATTTTTTTTTCCAGAAAATGCTTATTTTGGTCACTTGATGCACATTAGGCCCAGTATATGTTATTTGTTTGAAGCATCTTCCTTTCCCACATTTCTCCCTCCTGTCATTAACCTCGATATATCTAGAATGTAGACTAAACTCAATATTATATAAAACGTACTAACCTTTGTGCATTTGGTTGTTCAGCTTTCTAAGAACATCATTTCTGAACTGAAGTAGACTGAATATCATTATGTTTTAGAGATTATGCCATAGCTATTAATTGGAGGTGTATTCTTATAGCTTTATTTTTCTCTTCAAGGTTGAAGAAATGGTGCAGAACCACATGACTTATTCATTACAGGATGTAGGTGGAGATGCCAATTGGCAGTTGGTTGTAGAAGAAGGAGAAATGAAGGTAATTTCCAGTGAAATGTTATAGGTTTCTAATTGTAGCTCTGTTACAGTCATATTATCCTTACTATTGATATGAATAAGGATAGTGTTTTAAAATTACTTTTAAACAAATTATTACACGTGATCAAAGAAGCACCAAATATTGAGAAATAAAATGTCTTTTTGCTTCCTTGCTTTAGCTTTTACGTAATATCTTTATGGTCCAAATCTATGCAGAAATCATTCTGTTCTACCTAGGCCATGAAAAAATATTTTGCAGTTTAATTATGAACAGGTCACAATTAGCTGATGACTATTTGGGTATTTCTCTCTCTTTTAGTATACTCAGTATTGTGCCCAGATATCACTTTGTGTTCCCCTCTGGTCTATGTCTATACTTCATTTTTTGTCCTTTCTCTCTCTGTACCTTTTTTTTTTTTTTTGATATTTGGACGTTGATCAGCTAATCTGGTTCACATCCCTAAACACAGGAGATAGAATAAGAGCAAGGACTAAAGACACGCAGAAATGGATTAAAAAGCAGCAGCAACATTGAACTTTGGATTACCTCACGCCCAAGGCACTATGCTAAAGAAAAAGAGATATTTAATAGGACTCTCTCCAAGCTGAAACATTAGTTGGGGGGAAAAGGATATTGGCATTTAAAAGATACCATTACTTGGCTCAATCTGATAATGTATTAAATGAAGAGTACAGATGATTAGTGAAAAAAAGTTGGAAAAGAAAGAGATCTGTGATCTGAAACCGATCGTTTTGTACTGAGGAGAACCATTTGAACTATGGAAATGGAAATAAGGTGCGACAAAGGTGAAGTGAGGGCATTTTAGACAAGAAATAAACATGAGCAAAAACTTGAAAGCTAATTTCTTAATCAGGTGTTTGGTAGAGACTGTGTTGACCAGAATTATTATAGAAAATGGGCAGAATTTCCTCTCCTGAATAGGAACAAATTAAGAAATAAGAGAAGACTGGCAAATAAGATACCAGAGTATTAGATACAATTCTGATAAAATGATTGGATTACATGGAGGCCAGCTGCTGCTGCAAGGTCTTGCTAATATGTTACCTCAGCTAATATTACTAAACTTAATGTTTCTGACACAGCTGGATAATCACAGACCTTCTCCACAAGAGCAAGCCCCAAAAGCACACCAGGATGCATGTTCTCTGCAGAAGAAGGGGTTGAGCCAAACCTGCCTAGTCCCTTCTCTGTACTCCCCATTCAGATAAGTCGCTGTTTCCCCCGAGGGAGGTTCCAGGAAATGAAGGGGTGAAGAGAAACCAGGAGTCTAGATGAAGGCCCTCCATGTGGACTGAGGAGTAGAGAATAAGTACTCCTATAGCCCACAACATTAGAGAAAGAAGAAATCGGGCTGGATTATTGGGAGTATAAAATAACTCAATAAGAGAATAATCTATCGTTTGTAGTAGTAGGTTAACTATTGGATGCAAAATAATGTTTTTGGAAGATTAAGCTGATAGAGAAGAGATTAGAGACCAAGAAAACCACTTGCGAGAGTCAGGTACAAGGTGATGAAAGCCTACCAAAAGGTAACCATAATAGAAAAGTCAAGTTGTTGGTCTTATAGAAGATTGATAATAAGCTTAATGGCTATGTGAAGTGTGAAAGGAGTCAAAAGTCTACAGGTTCCAGTTTAGGTGACTAGAAAAATAGCTGTCCCAATAACAAATAAGTGAGAGAGATCTAAAGGAGAAACTGTATGTGAAATGTAAACTACGCGTGAAATGCCTAACAGTGTCTGGCCCCAATGGCACGCCATAAATAGCTGATTTTCCCTGTGATAATATGTTTATTCATTTGTCAAAAGAATTTATTATAGAGATCTTTAAATTAGCAAACCCTCTATAATTTTGAAAAAATTAATTTTAATCAGTACTTTAGGTACACAACCTCAGTATTTAAAGTCAACACATAGATCTTTATGGTAGTTTCAGCTTTCAATCATTGATTCAACAAATAATTGCCTATTGTGTTTCATATACTATTCTAGATGCTGGGGATACATCATTGAACAAAACTGCCTTAAATCAATATCTTTAAGGAGATTATGTTATAACCAGGCTATATGGCCTTATTAGTCATGTTGAACAGTTTTTGATAATGTTCAGTAAATAATGCTTGTTTTAAATTGATATATTTATTTTTTAACAACTCACAGTAGTCATTCATCACACATGCATATTTTTCATAGTTGAAGTTTACATTGGATTTGCAGTTTTAAATATTTTTATGTGTTGCATGTCTAAATAATTTGAAATTTTAAACTTCTTTTTAGTGGAATATTTATGTTCCATCATGCACTTTCATAAATAAAATCTTAAAAAGCCATTAAGTTTTAAAATATGCTTTCAAGTTTGTACTTTAGAAATTTGATCTTTATTTTTTAAACAAGTTTGTAAATATATCCTATGTAGGTATATAGAAGAGAAGTAGAAGAAAATGGGATTGTTCTGGATCCTTTGAAAGCAACTCATGCAGTTAAAGGCGTTACAGGACATGAAGTCTGCAATTACTTCTGGAATGTTGATGTTCGCAATGATTGGGAAAGTAAGCTGCAATTAATATATTTTTAAAATTTATTTTAATATAATTATTATTTAATATTTAATATTAAATCCAACCTGATTTTCTGTATCTGATTTGTAGTTTACAAAGTCGGTGTAGAGGATATCTGGAGAATCATACAGGGGACTGACAATACTTTATATTTAAATAGAGCTTTTTTACTATATAAAATACTTCTCAGTATGTTGTAGAATTTGATCCAGTACCTGAACAATCCTACATAGGTAGGTAACAAAGTAAAATTCAGATGGATCTAAGGCCATAGAACTAGTTAGTGGAAAAGCCAGAACTAATATTAAAAGTATCTGTTTTATCATATACTTTTTTCCTATGCTGTTTTCTTTCCATGGTAAATCCTAGATGAATCCTGCTGTGGTTTGTTTAGTTATTCTTTGGCGAAGGGGTTCCCTTGGGCACCAGATTTTGTAAATAGATACTTTTGAACATCATAAGATGTTTATCAGTAGCAGTTTGACATTCTTTTCTCACAAATACAGTCACCTAAGCCTAGATAGAACAGTTTATTCAGCTTTAGTAAATTAGGGATTATAGAGAGAGGTCATAGTGTTAGGGAGTAATTTGTGCCAGAATAATGCAGTGGTGCTGATTATAATTGTTTTTTGGCTGTGGAAGCTAGATATTGGACCAAAAAAAATGAGATTTCTGGGTGATCAGGTCTCATAGCCACTATCTATAGCCCTAAATACTAGGTATTAACTACCTTTGTTTGAACTTAGCCTAGGTGGGGCAGAAACTTGTTCATTTTACCATAATGTTCATTTGTAATTGACTTTCAGTATAAATGAATTAATCACATTCTAGAAAAAGGTAATGTATCTTTTTGGCTATTAATATTTTCTCTTTATTTCAGCAACAATAGAAAACTTCCATGTGGTGGAAACATTAGCTGATAATGCAATCATCATATATCAAACGCACAAGGTAAATATCTCTTCATCCCGAAAGGATTCTACTGTAGTTCAAACTGAGACATAAATTCTCTAAAGTAAAATTTGGCAGGAAATTAAATGCCACAAAAAATTCAAAGACTTTATTAATAATTCATGAATGTCATGTATTTGAAAGGTACATCACCTCATTTAAAGCAGAAATGGGTGCAGCTAAGAACCTGAGAAATATCTAGAAACAATGTATTTGATGAAGACCTACAGTTAGTTATGCACATTCTAAGTCTAGAAAAGAAATTCTTGAAATCCTTTATTCTAGCATCTAGTTTCTATGAGAGATAAATGATAAATGATAGTTATCAAATATGAAAGTGACTACAATATAATAAGGGGAGTAGAAAATATGTTATTAGCCTATGTTAAGACTAACAGATTTGAAAGTGATTTAAGTGGATGATCTTAAAGCAAAGGAAAATTACTGGGCATGACTATTAAGAGGTTGGTCATACACAAGTACATATAGAATCATTTCATTTAAATTAGTTCCCTTTCATGTCATTTTTTCCTCTACTAGTCTAGATATTTAAAATGGTAGAATTAATATTTCTCTTACCTTATTCTGTTCTGTTCTATCCAAAATAATATTTTGGATAAAGAATAATAAAAGGAATTAAAATTTTGGAGAGATCCACCAAAAAGCACTATTGTATGTTATATAAGAAATATAATGATTCAATAAGTACTTAGTTTCTCTTTTTCAAATGATTTTTTAATTGAGCCGAGTGTATTTGAGATTTGCTCTGTATCTCTTAAACTCAGTCCTGTCACCTGAGGCATCTTTTTTGTATCTAATGCCTGTAAGCTAGGCTTCATTTTACATGCTAGCTGCTCAAGAATGTGTGACAATGAAGATTCTACATATTTGTGACAATGAAGCATACATATTTGGGGGGCAGGGGAGTGGAGAGGGAGGTCCTAGGCAAAATCTAAAATTTAGTAGATGTTAAAATATCAATTAATTGCCCTGTAATTTGGAATGAAAATAAATTACCACTAATTGAGAATCAGAAGACTCTTATCTGAAGATAATTGATCCCGGAACACAATCTGCTGCAAGTATTTCACTAAGTAAATAGTAAATGGAGGGGAGGATTGTATAGATTGTATTAGGGTTATTTCTTGAAAACTAAAACTAAAAATTATTAAAATAATGTATCTTATACGTACCATAATTTAAATTACAATTATAATTATTTGACTAAACTAATTATCTTGGCATTTTTTCAACAAAATTCCATAACACTGACATCTTTTTTTGGTTTCTTTTATAATTTGGTCTTAAAGAAGGCTGTTCATCTTCTAATATTTAAATCATTCTCACTCTAAATTTCTGTCTTATCATCCTTGCAGATTTGCATTTATTAGTTCTAACATGGCCAAATTTTTGTTTATTATTAGCTTCATATACATTTCCCTAACACTACTGTCATCAGCTTCATGGAATTTTATCTCTCTAAAAGATAAACCATTTCACTTTGCAAATGAGTTGTGTTATGTTGACACTGAGCTGTTAGCTATTTATCATACTCAACGATCAGGAAAGACACTACATACTGCAAATTTTCTCTCGTTTGAAAGTATGTAGTCCCAGTTTTCTAAGACCTAGGTTCTTTGTCATTCCAATAATATATGTTTTTCCTTGCATACTATAAAGTTGAAAGATTCTATATGATTGGGAATTCTTCAGATACGATTATGATATCAAAGGAGCAATCTTTTTTTCTCTAAAATCTTTGATTTAAACTCTCTGAACAATTTAAACAGAAGTTTAATACGACACTTAAAAGCAGAATATTACCAGGATCTGTGGGAGAGGTTAATGGAGAGTTGTTGCTTAATGGAATTTCTGTTTGGGGTGATAAAAAATTTTGGAAATAGTGGTGATGTTTACATAACATTGTGATTGTAATTACTGCCATTGAATTGTATACTTAAAAGTAGTTTAAATAGCAAATTATATATTACATATATATTACCACAGTTTAAAAAAAAAAATAGCAGAATATTATTCTTTTGGTATTGTTCTACAAAACCATTAACTCAGCGTCCATAATTAATCCTTTGATGGATATTCTCAGATGCTTTTCATTTAAAATTTGACAGATTTTACCTTCAACTAAGATATTTATTAGTTGTACATTTGTTTTTCTGTTCCATATTATATATGAATAAAATGTATTTTCAAAAAATTTTTACTTTCACAGAGAGTGTGGCCTGCTTCTCAACGAGATGTATTATATCTTTCTGCCATTCGAAAGATACCAGCCTTGACTGAAAATGACCCTGAAACTTGGATAGTTTGTAATTTTTCTGTGGATCATGACAGTGCTCCTGTAAGTACACTGTGTAAATTTGTATAGTTGTATAATGTAAAGCTAAATAAACAATACAGTGCAAAAGTGATAAACATATACCACACACGCACAGATACTTGATAATGATTCTTAGATTTTGTTTTATGTTGTCTCTTTGGGACAATATAACTCATGTGTTACCTGAGGGACAAGAGTCATGGCTGTGACCATCCTAGCAGGGCTGTTTTCTTTTCCTTCTGAGGTGAGATGAGACAGAGTTGATGGGTAGTATATGTAGGCTACTTCTTACAGTTACCTTTCAAGCCATGATCAACTACTGGCAACCTCTGGTTTCTACTTCGATTTAGCGAGCGCCATTTACACATAAAAAGAGCGATAATCATTTCTACTGTCTTCTTATTAGCTTGGCATGTGTTATTTTTTGGCGCTTATAAGATTTTGTTGGAGATTTTGATCTTTGCTGGAGTTATGGTTTGGATTAACCTAATGTAGTATTAGACCAGTAGAGATTATAAAATACTGGGTATCTACTATACTGGTATTTTCTTCTTATTTTTTGTTTTGGCAGCTAAACAATCGATGTGTTCGTGCCAAAATAAATATTGCTATGATTTGTCAAACCTTGGTAAGCCCACCAGAGGGAAACCAAGAGATTAGCAGGGACAACATTCTATGCAAGATTACGTATGTCGCTAATGGTATGTATTTTGTTGTTTGTTTTTGCTACTTGGTAATGTGGATGTTCTTAGTATGATCTGCATGATAACTGACTGGACAAATGCCATTTAGAAATGCCTTTTTAGTTTTTATCCTTTGGATTAGTAATTTTTAATTTGGATAGATGTATATCAAAACTATTGGGAAACTTTCAAAATACACATATCTGGATTTCATCCCAGAACTACTATATCAGACTTTCTGAAACTGGGTCTGCATAGGTAAATTTTAAAACTTCATATCAAGATCACTATCACATATCTTTGGTTTTAAGAACCATTTTATTAAATATTTGCCTGAAAGAATATATACTTTTAGGAATATACGCAACAATGGGAAAGGAAAGTAACAGTTCTTTTTCTTATTGTCAGCCATGTTCGTTTTCTGAATCTTTGGTCCCTAGTCCTTATTAGCTAGTTATATATTTAATTCACATTGGCCTGCTGCCGAACAGCCCTGTTACTTTGGTTCCTTATGACACCCATAACCTACCTACAGTAGTTATTGAAGTCCATCTAATCAGATCCTCATACCTTCTTTATACAGGGCCACAACTGCTAGTGTATTTAAAAGAGATGGTTATGCCTGAGTAAGTTACTACTTGATTACAGTAGAGTTTGATGAATAAATCTTCCCTAAGTAACCTAAAGTGTAGCTGTATGAACATTTGCATACAATTTAGGAAACTAAGGATATTTTAGAAAGGTAATAAATGCTTTCTTACTTGCTATTTTCTTGTCCGGTGGTTAATTTTAAGCAATTAATTTAATAGTAAAGATTTAAGAGTTGCTGATTGTTTCAAAATGAGGAACTTTTTAAAGCATAGGAACAAATTGAGTGTTTCACATTTGTTTATAGAATTATATCCTAACAGATTTTAATTTTTCTTTAATTCACAGTGAACCCTGGAGGATGGGCACCAGCCTCAGTGTTAAGGGCAGTGGCAAAACGAGAGTATCCAAAGTTTCTAAAACGTTTTACTTCTTACGTCCAAGAGAAAACAGCAGGAAAACCTATTTTATTCTAGTATTAAAAGGTACTGGAAGATATGTTATCCTTTTTTTAAAACTTTTTTTGACTAATGTGATTCTACAGATATTAAAATTTAGTTAATTGTCAAAAGTAGTTTCTGTGTTTTATAATGTTCTCATATAAAGAGTTATTTTTATAGCCTTAAAACTTATTTTTTTATTATTTTTCTGCTTATATTAAATAATACCTGCTTATATTTAAAAAATTTCAACATCATTGAACTACAGAATTTCATAAGTTCAAGTTCCTTATATCTTTCCCTTCCCAGAAATTACTGTTATTTCGGTTGTATATCCTTCTAGACTCTGATATGTATGTATTTACATATATTTTTAATTATTTTAAAAAATGTATTTTCTACTGTTTTGCAGCTTGTTGTTTTTCTGCCAACAATATATCTTGACTATTATTCCACATGAAGATATGAGATATAAAACCCTCTCATTTTTTTAATATCTGCTATATGAGTGTTGCAGAATTTATTAACCAGTCCCATGTTAATGTCTGGGTTGGTTCCATGTTTATTGTCAAATGATGTTACACTGAGTATCTTTGCACAAGGAATCCAGAATCTTTAATTTTTTTACAAATTAAGTGATAATGTTAGCATGATTCAGAAGTTAAAATTATGAAAATATACAATAAAATTTATCCCTTGCTCCTTATTCACCCAGTTTTGCCCCCTCTCCACACATGCAAAAGTATACAGCTGCTATTACTAATTTCTTGTGTATTTTTCCAGATTTTTTTTTTTGTCTGAATAAGGAAATACAAGTATATTCCTCCCACACATACTCTTTTTTTGTTGTTGAAGAAAAAGTAGCATACACACCATTCTGCACTTTGTTTTTGCACTTTTATTATCTTGATGGTCTTTTCATGTTGGTAGGGAGCTTTATTTTTTTTTACGGCTTTATAGTATCTCATTGTATGGATGTATATAATTTATTTAACCTCTAGTTGTAGATACTAAAATTGTTTCCAATTTTTGTTAGAACAAACAGCGTTGCAGTTATATTCATATGTCATTTTATACTTCAACTTGTTATGTGGGATAAGTTATGATATGTGCCACTGCTGGCGCTCTGGGAGTTTGTGTATTTGTAATTTATGTATTGCCCTCCATAGGGGTTGTATTAATATACCATTTCACCAGCAATAATGTATTAGAGTGCCTGTTTACTTGTACCCCCTCACACGATGGGTGAAATAAAACTTTCTGATTTTTTTTCCAACTTAATAGGTGTAAAATACTCTTCTAGTGTAGTTTTAATTGCATTTCTCTTATTGTGAATGCATTTGAGCATCTTTTAGTCCATTTGTAACATTTGCATAATTCTGTTTTTTATGAACTGAGAGTGTGTGTTAGCATTTAAATTTTTAATAGATCTTACTACAAAGTAAAATAATTTACAGGCAGTAAGTATATATGAACGTCTTCTCATTCTTATCTACACTGAATGTTAAATCATTGGCTGAGAAATTTATATTCTTGAGTCACTTTCTTTAGATAAAAATAATATAGTCAATTATTGTATGATGACTGATGTTTTTAGTTATGTCTAGTTTCTGATGCTATTTATGGTATGTCTTTCCTTTTTTAAGAAAAAAATAACTCAAAAGCTGAATTTATAGTCAGATACTAACACAAGGATATTGCATTGGTGTCCTAGATACGTAGCTTTTCCCAGGAAAAAAGTGACCTGAAAATGTTAGTCAGGTTCTGATCTTACCGATCTGAATGGTTAGTGTTTGGGGATACAGTCTGACCTTTGTGGAATTCTCTCTTCTGGCATAAGTGCGCTGTATAAATGCGCTATTGTTAGAATATGTTATACTTTAGGATTGTTATGGCTAGATCTGGGTGCCTAACCTATTAATTCTGTCTCTGCAGTGTATTTGTCAAGCATACCAGAAACCTGATGCCACACAATGGCAGCAGGCTTTTCACCTTACTTAGCTGAGTGTTTCTCCGCATAGCCTTAAGATTTCTAAAAGGTTTTGCTGTTTGCTCCAACCAGGACCAAGCATGCAGCTTTATCTGCTTTCTCTCTTCTTCACCTCTATCTCAGAATGCAGTTATATATAGAACATGCTTTCAACTATGTTCAAGGAGAATAATGGTTTTCCTAAACATTTGAAAAATACATGCTAACATATTACTAGCATTTGCCTCTAAACCGTTGAATTCGGGGTGTTGTTTTATTGACTGACCAAGTGTATGTTTGGTGCATGTGCACATATATGTTCATATGTGCACACATTCTTCTCTAGTGGCCCTAGGATGGAAGGCATTGAAATCCTTTGAAAAAAACTTAGGGGACGGAGGTAGCATTGTTTGTGGATGTGTGTGTATGTATGTAAAGATAGAAATGAAAAGACTCACTGGCCAAAACTCAGTTCTGGCCTTGAGTTTGCCTAAAGTGATATTTGTCCCATAATACTTTCGGCAGGTGTGTGTATGAAGTGCATTCTAGCACTGAAACCTTAATTTTAGTGTTGGAGAAATTATAACTTTCAATAGTCATTTTCTTTAGAGAAATTCCATAGAGTTAATAAAGTCCGAAGATATTTACAATTGTTAGTCAAAACTCTTTAACACATTTGACAAGGGCTGAGCATGTTTGTGTCTTAAGATAAGGTAGACCTTTTCTTCATAGCCTAAGTAAATTTTTAAAATTTTTGATAAGTGATATTGCATAATTTTTATTGAAGACTAAGAAGGAAATGCCAGTTTGTTGAGTACAAATCTGGAGACCTCTGGGTGATTTGCTCTTTGTTTACCTATAGTACATTACCCTTTTAAATTTTTTCTAACTTTCAGAAGATTTCTTGTATGCTCTGTTACTGATGGATAAGTTTCAAATATTTAAGGTTAATAATTTTACATTCTTAAAGGTGAAAATCCTTAAAAGATACATTTTAATAGAGAATCTGTGTATTTCATCAATTCAGAGGGTAGAAGGAAATTCGTTCTGGTATTCTTGCAGCTGTTAGTAATAATGTATTGCCTAATTTTTTACTTGTCATTTTTCTTTCTTGCAGTGACGGAAGCAAGGCTGTGTGACATTCCATGTTGGAGGAAAAACTGAAAAGAAAAATGCTCTAAGCTGGAACATAGGATCTATAGCCTTGTCTGTGGCCCAACATCTTGGCCTTGTGTAAAAAAAAAAAAAAAAATGAAGAAATATTGCAATAGCAAAGCTGAATATCTAACACTAGCTGTCTCCTGCTAGATCTCCGTGCTCAGCATATAACTATAAATACATGTAAAATTACATGTACATGGCTATATTTTTATTTGCTTGCTCCCAGAAGAGAAAAAAAAAAATCAACTTTGAATCACAACTAGGAATTGATGCTTTAATTTTTGGAAACTTTTTCAAAATTTTTAATTTAGTATGGTCCGGCCTAAGATCCTCAGTTGTATCAGGTTTTGTGCACAAAAGAAAAGCACAGAAGTTGAACACACACGGGAATGTGCTTTCTGTGCACCAAATATCTGGATGGGGTTCTTTTTTCAGGCCTATATAGTCAAATCTGTGTCCAGAATTTTTTGACTTCTTTGCTTTGTATAATCATAGAATTTATTGCTGCTGATTTCTATAATGATTCATGTTGTCATGTAAGGTGTCTTTTAATAACTGAGGGCTGTCAGTAACCTGTGATTTTGCTTTTTCTATAGTCTTACTCCCATGAAGAACCTTGGTTCTGATGGAGAAAGTGAAAAGCTTTATTTTTTTCTCCATATATCTTTATGTTTCTTGTATTTTTATTTGTGTTCTGTGTGCTACAGCTTTTGTTTTTTCAGTTTGTTAGAAACACAATATGGCAATTCCTGAATTGGTTCTGCCTGCCTCCAAACATCTGTACAAATCTTATGGATATAAATTACTTTCTGGTAAAATGGTCAGGATAAAATGAGCTCACATTTTTATGAAATTTGTAAGAGGTTATATGGTATTACTTGTTAAAGCAAATCAGACTGAGTTTGACATTTGATTCAATATTTCTAGTATTCAGTAACAAGTATGTTTGTTAATTCTTCTAATTTGGGTCAGTTTAAGAGAGATGTTGCAGGATATGCACACAAAATGTTAGCATTGCTCCTGTTTGCCTCTTGATCAGAAACTTCAGCAGAGCAGTAAAGGATTCCATGTGATTCAAACTGAAATTCTTTCCTTAGTTGCTGTAAGAACTTACATGTAAAATACCTTTTTTAGTTTATTAGTTTCAGGCCTCTGTGAAAAACCTTGAAGCATGGAGTTGAGGCAAGGAATTATACTCATTGAAGTGGAAATGACTGCCCACTCCAAAATCTTCATTGTGTTTATACACAGATGTGCTTACATATATCAGAGGCATTTTGTAGATGTTTTGCTGACTTGTTCATCTCTGTAGAAACACAGAAATCAGACCCATTTTGTTAAGCAGAAAGTCATGTCACATGGAACATGTCCTGTATATATTTCATACGTGGTAATGAAGTCTTAATGATAAATGCAAGGTGATAATTTAATGATGGGATTAGTCTGATCATTTAATATGCACAATCCTGGAAGTGAATTACTTGCATCAGATATAGTGGTATTTATTATTCTGTACAGAGAGAAAAAATACATATAAAACATAATGCTTACATTACATGCACGCAGATTTCATGCTCCATAAATCTTTTCTATTTTTTAATTTACCTTTCTCTAAATGATGTGCATGGAATATGCCTTATTACAGAAAAATGCTGTTCATAATTTGACTATGTGGAAAAGTGCCTATGGTGGTAAATGCTAGTAAGGCAAATAAGACAAATTATCATATCAGTTTACTACATAACCAGTTAACATTTTATATTGTGATGTTTAAAAAATGTTTATACCTCAAATGTATATTTTATTTTACAATCATCTGTGGGCTGGGATGTGGGGGTATGGGAGGGTGGGGGAGGGGAAGTTTATTCATCATAGCCACTGATGGGAATCTTCAAAAAATTCTATATGCCCACTTTAAATATTTCTCCATTTGGCATTTCTGGTAACTATCATGAACACAGACAAAGTAACTCTTAACTAAATTGGATAGCTTTATTTTACAAAGATATGGAAAGTTTACAGAGCAGTATCTAAATCTAATTATCATTAGTTACATTTGCACTAAATGTTAATGATACACTTTTGCAATTCTGTAAATAAAATGATTACACTAAAATATTTGTATAAAAAAGAAAAAAAGATAAATTTTACCTTTAGGTAACTGCACTGGTACTTCACTAGAGTTAATCCTGTCCAACCAGATTTAGAAATGAGTAGGGGAATATGAAAAGAATTTAAAAGAGGTCAGAATTTAAAAAGGTACTAGCCCTTTAGACAATATTCAGACCCTCTAGAATTATTTCCATATGGCTAATTCCTATATACTGAATATACATGTTGATTTTTCATCTTCGGTTATTTCCTACTTCCCCGGGCCAAAAAAAAAAAAAATTATCTTTTACTCTTTTCTACTCACCTTTTTTGTACTGTGATAGAAACTTGAAAAATATTGGTGATGATGGGTTATTTTTTTCCCTGAGTGCCCACCGTACCCTTCAAGATAGCACAGTGTTTCAGTTAGAATTCAGGATTTCTGATTTTGAGATAGAGGGTGATCATAGGCGCTCTTGATTTGAGAACGCCACAAGAGCAGCCAGACCAAGAAGAGGGATGGCTGGGAGGGAGATATAAGGATACAAAATAAGGAAAAGGAGAAATTGGTTTCCCATTTGTTCAGTTTCATCAACTAGTTTGTACACCTCTACAACATCAGCATCACTTTGCTATTGAGAAATTTTTAGTTGGGCTGAGCTGGTTCTCTTGTGAAATTGTGCTGATTATCTTTAAGCTTATCGGTTGTTTGTCCAATTAAGCACTTTCACCAGTATTTAGTCCGAGTTGTACAGACGACGTTTGGATTATTGTCATTGTTCATCTACAGACTCAAAACGTAATCATTTTAAAGTTCCTTGGGAGTATGTAGAGTGTAACTATTCTTTAATAGCTTTATGATCCTGATGATGTTTTTAAAAATTAATAAAGTTGGATCTTCCATGTTACAATCACAAAATTAAAATCAGTATTTAAAAGTGGAAAAGTATTAAAATATTATGGAAATTTGTGCTTGCTTGATTGTTTTCCTTAACCCAGAAATACTGCCCTCCATAATTCTCTGAGTAGTTAAGAGCTTGGAATACTCCAGTATTCTTCAAACTGTAGGTTTAACCCAGTTAGGGATCAAGAAAATTATTAATGAGTCACAACCTAATTAAAAAAAACAAAACAATGGAATAATCAAGTACATAGTTTATAATGAAAAATATTTTATGAATCTTATATATGTAAATGTACATGTATAGTGGGTTACAATTTTAAAATGAATTTCTTACTATATGTTATGGTTCAAAAGTTAGACCATGTGCTACTAGAGAGCAAAGCCATATACAGTTGGGCATTTCTAAAATGAAAGCACAGTGCTAGTCATCCATACTTAAAATTTAACTACATACATTTAGTTAAATAAATCACCCCTCATTTATTTAAATAATATGGCTAGCTCCACATGTTACACCCAGAATTTATGCCCTAGAACAACAGTGAGATGGGAAGTGTGGATTTGCACTTCACTCACTCAGTGGGTTCCCCTGTGGTTATAGCGAAAGCCATCGTGCATATTTTTCTGCTGATGTTCAAAGATCCATACCATCCAAACAATATGATCAGCCAACTACTTAGTCTGGTGGGATGCTGGAGAAAATATCTGGCTGTCGTGCTGAATTTATTAACAAGTAGTATTGTGGTCCTCGTGGCACATTTTTAAGGAGTATTTTAAGAGTGATTTTAACTATATGCAGCTTTTGCCTTAGTCTCAACTTTGGAATATAACCTGCAAATAAAGTGTAATTCTCATTAGCTGTTGCAAATTGAGTTGCTTTTATAGTATCTTCTAGATTTTCCTGCCACTGTTTTAACAAGCAGGACTCATATTGTTGGCATTTGTATTACCTACCCATTAAAAAAATTTTCTATGAACCCTCCATGTCCGCATACTCTGAGTAGCCTTATCATAAACCATTTGGCCTCTTCATTCTCTTCCACAGAATTCTGTGAGTTTGGTACTAGAATGAATCTTAAAGATCTTTGAAGTTATTAAAAAATGCCCAACCAGGATTTTATCACCCAGTCATTGTTGAGGTGCTGAATGAGGATGTTTCCATTAAGCGTTAACACACACCATGCCTGCATTTTATCTGACTTCTCTCTGCAATGCTGCTGCTGTTGGCAGTAGCGCTAGTGATACCACTACTATTTACAGAAGAGGAAACAGGCCAGGCCTACTGTGTAAAGTCTTTCCTTTAGACTCTGCTACTTTGTAATGCCTATGTATTTAATATCTAGAATATGATGTACTGAAAGGAGCTGACATGCTTGAAGCACTTTACAGGTACTTCAATACTGGCTTTATAAAATCCCATCAGATACATGAATTTTATCTTAAAGATTAAATTTGGCCATCATTTGATGCCTTAACTGCCTTCCTATCTTCTAGCTTAGAGGGGTGAAATAGAATTCGATCATAAAACACCACGAACAAGTCTGAGAAGGGTATTTTATCTCAGAATTTTCAATCCAAGGATGAACTCCAACGTAGCTGTCACTTTTGTGAGCCATCTGTTGCAAAATGACCACTGAAGCAAGCTTTGGATCCACTCCTGCTCAGTTTACTGTGGTTCTTTTATATTACTATTCTTTGGAATTAGGAGGCCTAAGAGGTATCTGGGTCCAGCACTAGGGAATCTGTGTGTGGCAGCTAAATCAAGATACAGTCGACATCCAAACCATTTTAGCATATGGATATCACTAATTCTCTAGCCCTCAAAATGGTTCCCAGAGCAAATATTTATCGAGCACCTACTACTCGCTATGCAGTGTTCTGGGATTGGGAATACAGCAATAAACAGAACATCTGGCCTAGATTATTTTTGTCATAGCCAAGGTTTTTAGAAATGTATCTAAGGAAATAGGCTTTGAGATAAGGAGCTTTGAATAAGGTGCAGTGAGCAATAGCTACGTTTGAAATGTGGAAGGTTTTTTTTTTTATTCTCAAAAGGTCGATAGGAAATATTGTTGCTGTATTTTAACAACTTTGCCAATTTCTGTCCATGTTTATAGCATGAGATTAATTGGTAAACTATTCTATTCTGATTATTCATTTTAATTTAAAACTACAATTTAATTTATGGTTTGTGACTTTGACTTTTCATTCCTAACATCCAATAGATTTTTATGTTGTTTCTAAGTATATTTCTCTCTATGTTCCTGGGAACCATATATTCAACATAACCAAAAAGGAATGAGATTTAGAAGCCAGAAGACCAGAGTTTTTCTGGCTCTCTTACTTGAGCAGCTTTGATATTGCCAAGTAATTTCAATGTCTCTAAATCTCCTATAAAGTAATACAAGATCACCTACCATGCTACATCACAAGGTTGTTTGAGGAAGAGTGAGATACTTAAAATGCTTTGAAAACTTTACTATGCAAATGTAAGGAACTTTAGCCACAAGTATGTGCTAGGTACTGACTTTTGCTTGCTAGAGATATGAAGATGAGTAATGCAGAGGAATAATGACAAATAAGATGCAAGCATTTTGAGGCTTTGAGCCCGAATTTTAAGACACTTGGCTTATCTGGAATTTAGCCTACAGGAGCATGCCCCATAAGGGAGAAAACTAGAAGAGGCAGAGGCAGGAAAACCTTGAAAACTATGGGAAATAGTTTGATTTTTGTTCTCCCAGCAATGGGAGTCGCAGGGCTTTTTTGAGTATTACTGTTTTACACATCAGAAAAAGCAGTGGAACTTGGTGCCTGGTTTTGTTTGGATATAGAATAAGTCAACTGTTAACATTTTTACTTGTAAATAATTCCCACACTAATGTCAGAAATTGGGAGGAGTAACAATGAGTTTTTAAAACTCGAGAAATGGAAGTGATAGTCTCTCAAACTGGAGCTGCCTGGAAGTCACTTATGTTTATAAAATATTAACTGAATGGGTAAGAGTTAAGACCTGAAAAATCAGTGTAGAGATGAGCGTCTCCTAAAGTGATCTCTTTGCCTTTCTTATATTTAGTTCCTCCTCCTGCCACTATTAAATTATCCTTTGATACATAATATCTCTTGCTCAATATGTTTTAAGAGTCTTATATCCAGGATTGAGTTCACACTCCTTGGCTTAATTTAAGCCTGATGTCCAAGGTATCTTTTAAGAGTTTGGCCTAACCCCATCTGCCTTACCAATCTAACTGGTCTTGGTCCCCTCTACAAATAAATCAACCCAGCCAGGTGGATTTACTCCATGTCACTTGGTGATGCATGCTTACCTTCTAAGGAACTTCTCTCCTCTCTTAGGTCAACATTCAACCTTTGAGGTCCCAATTTCTGCCCTTAATTATAACCAGTCCCCTCAACTTTTTCTTCAGTTCTATGTGTTTTTTTCATCCATACTTGGATTATATAACTACAGTAGTATCCCCTTATCTGCTGTGGATATGTTCTAAGACCCCCAGTGGATGCCTAAAACTGTGGATGATAGCGAATCCTGTTTTTTCCTATACATACATACCTATGATAGAGTTTACAATCACAGCTGATTTTAGTGTGGAGACTGAGACAGCATTGTTCCCTCAACCATAACCTACCCAATCCACTAAGCCATTCACCATTTCAAATTTTAAGTGACAGGAAAGCAAAGGAGTTCCATAACATGGGCTAGATGACCAGAGCCCTTCTTGCAAGTCTCCTCAAAGTGTCTGTGTGCTTTATGTTAGCAGCTGGCACAGGCCTTCACCCTTTGCTCACTGCCAACTGGCTTCAGAATTAACCAGCTGGAATGGTCTGTTCAATCAGCTTCTTACCTCTGAGTAATGCTGTTCCAGTGCTACAATCCTGGGACATTAAAGTGCAAAGGAATCAAATTTGGGGCCACAGAGTGGATGAGGTGAGGACGGTGAGTAGATAGTGGTATGCGCGAACCTCTTTAAAAGTAGGGGCTTTTTTTTTTTTTTTTTTTTGGATTTTGTCTCCCACTCTTACTTAGCCCTTTGGGAGAGCAGGGAACAAGGAATAAGAGAGTGAGGAGAAGTAAGTGGCTAAAATTCTCTGGGTTAGTCATTCCATTCGTTGAAGATGTGGAGACCTTTAGAGTTGTCTGTGGAAGGAAGGTGGTCATGGGTGGAGGGTGGGGAGACACCAACTCAAATAACATACTTCCTAATTGACTAGTTGTTATATCTCTCTAAGATTAATTCTAATTCTTATTAACCAACACTTGATCTCTCCATGGTGTTTTTAAATTGTGCGCTTCTGAATAAACTGCATTTTCTAATACCGTTCATACAGTAATAGTGTGCACCTCATACTGAAATCCAGAACTGTTACAACAGCAGCATCAATAGAACTGTCAAAATCCTAGCCACATTCCAGAGCAAGGGAGTCAGAAAACCTGGGAATGGAGCCCAGCAATCTGTTTTGCCAAGGCCACCAGGTTAGTGTATTGCACACTCAAGCTGGAGAAGCACTGGATTAACGTGGTCTTTTGTGTTCTACCTCCTAACTCCAGCTGTTAGCACAAGGCTCTCTTCTATAGGACTTAGGGAACAACTGTTATCTGGACACAAGAGTGCCTATACCTCCCTCAACAGCTCTCAAACTTTCTTAGAAGGAAAAGAAAGAGGGAGGTGGGGGGAAACATATTCCATTACACTGAAAAAGAAGTTACGACATAATTGTAAACTAAATCATTTGCCACCTTCTCTTGGTTTCCACTATTAGAGGTTATCCATTAATTATCTTTGCTAACTGAATGAAGATGATTATTAACAAATTCGAGTCTTGGCCATAACTGAAGGTTAGAGGAACACTGGTCTTGAAAAAATTTTTCTGTAATAAATTTACAGCTTATTTTAACCTCCTGTACATAGTGGATTTGTTTTGGTGTTTTGCTGCTCTGCATCCTCTTGTTTGAGCCAAGACCTCAACAATGTGAGATGTTTCCTTCGGGTTTAATTCTCTATCCTTTCCTAAGATGAAGAAAAAAAAACCTGTCCTGCCACATGCAACTCACTGCTCATCACATCACCCAAACAGAAAAGGGGATGGAAATCCTTCACTGTCTCCGGTCCGGCCTGCTTCACTCTGGAGGAGGCAGACCATACAAGTGATCGAGTGTCATTTGGGGAGAAAAATACAAACTGATTTATTATCTGGGTCTTGGTTCTTAGTGGTTCATACATACCTTTTCTAACTACAGCAGAAAGTGTAGTCAATAATTGCAAGTAAATGGGAATCGGCTTTTAAAAAGGCCGACCTGAACTATATTAAGCTATACTCCAGCTGATACGTCCTAAATGCACACCTACAATGGCCATTTGGTTTGACTACCCCATATTTATGTCTTTCCACTAACCCTCACACCCCTAATATCTAAAAGTAGTCCAGTTGAGATACTAAATCCGAATTAATCAAACTAAGTATAAGGAAGATAATTTTAATGAACATACAATACCAGTCTACCATTAATGTTGCAAAGTTGAGGAATATAATACAGAATGATAAATGCTCATCATTAGGACCTATAATTCACCTACAGGTCATAATTCACCAATAGCATGAATTACAGGTTACCACTCTGGCCAGACTTTACAAGCTTCCAGGCCTCAGGCTGAGGGTTAATCCAAACAAAAAAAGTTACTGCTTACATTTAGTAGTATTCACTTCTTTTTCATAATTTACTGGAACTGGGGAAAAAAAGTATAACAAAATGTATACAATTTAGTAATTGTACAAAACAATTTAGTGAGATGATATTGGTTACAATCACCAAAATGAAGATGCAAAATACTTTTCATTGCCACTTCCATGAAAAGTTCAGATAAATAAGAAGTCACCGGCTGAAAAGTCACAACAAAAGCAATTTAAACTTTACAAACAGGAAAGATCAAGCTTCCACAACAATGCTGCGGATACAACCATTCAGAGGCTCCCCATGCTGCCATGGTATTACTGGAACGTTTTTCAGAGTCCATCATCTACACAAGCCATCAGCTCTCCAAGACCAACACTTGAAGCATTAGATGTAATACAAAATAAGAAGTTTTTTATTACTTATTCAAAACTTGTACATTAAAAAAAATAACATTCGACACCTCTGCTGACCCCCTGAGAAAGCTAAGAGCTTTTATGGGTCCATCTAAGAGCACTGTGTGAATGTTTCAGTCACCAACCTCCTGGCCACAGGAACGAGCAAGGCATGCTCCTCCGGGGCCATTCACATGGTGCCTTCACTGGCTCTGAAAGCTGACGTACACTTTCATTAGGCTCGACAAGCAAGCTAGGGTTTCCTGGACAATTAAAGAACACCATTCTTCTCTGACCTAAGCTTACAGTATTTTATCAGTATACAAGTTTATTTTTATTTATTTCTTGAACACTTTTAATAAACTCCTAGCATAAGAAGCTCCATTACAACATATATAGATTTGACACAATTCTTTACAAAAAAACTATCTAGATTTTTCAGCTAAATAAATTTAAGTATCTTTTAAGAAATTAAAGTTGGCTTAGAGAAATGGTATTTTTCTTTCAAACCTGTGTTTTCCACCTCTGAGTTCTGAGAGGTCATAGACTTGTATACAAGTCCTTGATAAACAGAGAGAGTCTCCTTTGTCTAAGCAATATTAAGAGCTCTTGTATCTTTGAGAGCACAAAACTCTTGTTTCTTAAAGCCTTATGTTGAAAGATACGTTATAGCCAATCTAGACAAACATTTATATTTCGACAAGAGACCTCTGAATAGCCTGCAGAGATAAATGCAGTGATTTGTTTTCTTGATAGAGAACTATTTAGCACTGCTTAGCACATTATTCTGCAGTTGGGGAATAAGAGTAATTCTTCTTTTGAAGAAAGCAGGTCCCCTTCCGAAGAATCATGTTGGCTACCCCAAAAGAATCTCAAAATAGACCAGCACCAAATGAAGTATTAGTTTACAAAAAATAAACTTAGCTCTTATTTCTTAAAATTCTACAATCCAGGCTTAATAAATTAACTTTGAAATCATGAGTTTTGTCAGCTACAATATAATTTAAAAATCCATTTTCAACTCAGGCGTGGGAGGAGTGGGAGGAGGATCAATCTCACACTGATCACCATGAACTCCATGAATTTCATCAAAAGAAAACACTTCTTTCCAGCTTGTGTTCTATTTCAGAAGTGAGCTGTGGATTAACATCTGTGATGCTTATAGCATAATATTCATGTTGAGATCTCTCCAAAGAGCACAGCATGTAAAGCACTAAACTGTCTTCAGATCTGAGGAATCTGCACGGAAAGAAGGACCTCAGACTTGTCTGAAAGAGCCAAACACCAAGCAGTCGTCTCACTGATCATATCTATTCATCCTCAAGAAGACACTGCATTGAGCTTTTTAATTCACAGATTTTATGTCAGTCCTTTAGAACCCAACGCCCGTGTTTCGGTTCGGAACTGTCAGGCTCCTTAAGCAGTTTTCTCAGTGCAAGTTCCTTGGAGGTCTTGTAAATTTATCTTTGACCTATGGCAAAGAAAGACAAAGTAGAGATATACAAAATAATAAGAATGCAGAAGTTTAAGTTAAGACTATTGTATCTGAAGAGTAGATTTTTATACTGCATATTTTAAGTACAGGGAAAACATGTTAAATAAATCTTTAAGTCTTACCTGTTGAGAAGCATGTGACTTTGGACCATATGTCCTGTTGCCAATGCTGCCATCACTGACAACTCCCCAGCCATTACTGTACCACACACAATTCTGGCAAGCTGCCGGGCATTTTCCCCAGGATTGTCTTTGCACGCTCCCTGAACACCTAGCATCTGCAGCCAGGGAGAGACAGAGCAGGACTCATCCTTCAAGTCATGGCGACAACTTCCTACTCAAGCAACTAACATAAGGGTACTACAATGGCATAGAACTAGGCTCCATTAAAAGTACTAAATTTCCAAGATTTGGCAGCCAGTACTGACAATGTATACACCACAGTTAACATAACATCCACACCCTGGCTGGCAGTGCCCTTACTCAGAGTGGATAAACATTCTTTGCTCTCTTAATATACTTTCTCAATTTACTAAGCATATGCCTGAATGTGCTTACTTGGACACACTAAATTAGGCTTAAGGGAAACAAAAGAATAAAAAGGTTGCTAAAATATTGAGGTGAGTGATATGCAGAATCTCAGCAGCTCAGAATAGGCTAGAGATCCCTGGACTCTGTGCCTGATATGTCATACCTGCAAACAGGCTTGCTGAGGGAGCAGGTTGGTCCCACCACCTACAGTTCCTATTTCTATAGATGGCATGGTACAACTGACATACAAATCTTCATTTGTGGGACCAGTTGTTTCCATTAAAGTAATGCAGTTTGAACTAACAACATTCTGCGCTGCATCCTAAAAGAAAATAAAATAAAAATGGAAAAATATAAAACTTCTCTTACTTAGAACAACAAAAGAGAAGGGAAGTGGAGGCGGGAACCCTCACCTGTCCACAGGCAATATAAATGGCAGTGACAATGTTTGCCGCATGGGCATTGTAACCTCCAATGCTCCCGGCCATGGCAGAGCCCACCAGATTCTTATTCACATTGACTTCAATCATAGCTTCTGTAGTAGTCTTTAATACCTAGAAAACAGAGTTATACACATTTCACATCTTCCCACAGAGATTCAGGGGTGTGTTATCCAGATCTTTCTTTCTGTACCTCCAGAAAACAAGGGAGTTTAGACATCACCTCATTTAAGCTCTTAACGCAATAAAGAGTATCAGTTCAGTTTGTTCCTATGAATGTCATAGGCAGACACACGAGCATGATAAAACCTTCATCTTTAACGTGAAACATACGCCCACATATTAAACTTTACTTACAATTTCTCCAATTTTTTAATCCAATTAAAGATTAACAAAATGAAATATTTATCCAATCACTCACTTCTCTGACAACCTTGGCTGGAATGACGGCTTCACAAACAACAGACTTTCCTCTTCCCTCTATCCAATTTATAGCAGCAGGTTTCTTGTCGGTACAATAGTTACCACTAAGTGCTAAGATCTGCATTTCAGGAAAATACTCACGGAGTTTTATAAGTGCTTTCTCTGTACCCTATTAACAACAACAACAAAATTACATTAAAATTCACAAAGTTATTTACAGACCAGAGGCTTTATTTGTATCTAATAATACTAATACTTCTAACTACAATAGCTATATTAATATCATTATTTCGAATAACTATACTTCGAAGAAATTAAAGTAACAGCTGTTTTATTAACTATCAGTGACTAATTTCTCAAGCAGATATAGATTCCTAATGTTTCTGTCTAGGTATAAAAGTGAACTTCTTCGTCGTGATTGATGAACAGAATGTAGATGAGAATATTAAAAAATACTGAAAAAGAATACTCATATTCATGTCACTGAGGAGTGAGTAACCCAACTCATGACCAAGGTTTCATAAATTGCCTCTTCTGGTTATTAAACTGTTACCTACAACCCCAAGTGACCAAGCCTGCAAACAGAAGTCAAACATCAAAATAAATCTTGTTGTTAATGGGAAGTTGTTGGAATTTACATTACATAAAGTATAAAAAAGACTTCCAATGACTTCCAACTAAGTGAAATTATTTCAGTTAACCACTCCTCAATAACCCAAAACATACTTGTGGCTAATTAAAAAAATTTTTAATTGTGGTAAAACACACATAACATAGAATTTATCACATTAACCATTTTCAAGGTAACTGATTGTTCAGTAGTTTAAAGTACATTCAAGTTGTTGTACAACCAATTTCCAGAACTCTTTTCATCTTGCAAAGCTGAAACTCTATACCCATTAAATAATAACTCTCTATTCCCCTTTCTCCTCAGCCCCTGGCAACCAGCATACTACTTTTTATGTCTCTGAATTTAATCGAGGTACCTCATAAATGGAAATCATAAAGTATTTATCTTTTTGTAACCAGATTATTTCCCTTAGCAAGTGAACCTCAAGGTTCATCCACATTTAGCATATGTCAGAATTTCCTTTCTTTCTAGTGTTGAATAATATTCCATTGTATATAAACACCACATTTTGTTTATCCATTCATCCATCAATGGACACTCAGGCTGCTTCTACCTTCTGGCTATTGTGAATAATGCTTCTATGAACAAGGGTGTACAAATTATCTCTTTGAGACCTTGCTTTCAGTTCTTTGGGGTAGATACCCAGAAGTGAAATTGCTAGATCACAGTAATTCTACTTTTATTCTTTTTAAGAAACCACTGTACTACTGTTTATTGGCAATTTTTAAAGCTTATGCATTTAGTCACTATCATCTCTTTCTGAATAGTCCTTATAAATAGTTAAACCAAAAAATATTTGCTAGCCTAACTGACTTTAACATTTTACATTTGTGTCTGGTAAATAACATATCAGTAGAATAAAATGTAAGCCATATATAATCTTCTTATAAGGAGATAATTAAAATAACCAGGCTATACGCATGAGCTTGGCCTCTTAAATATAAGACTTATCAAGTCTCTAGAATAGGTCAGCTTTCATGGTTTATAAAACAAAATTTTAAAGTGCTAACCCTAAGGTTTTTCCTAACTCCCCTGAGTAGACCCAGAACATATACAATGCAAGTCTAAATTAAATATATCAGATACAAACAACGCCGGTAAACAAATGCCTGATTTATATAACATGAATTACATAAATCAATATTTAGCTTTCAATGAAAATCTTTCAGTCACGTAACACTTTGAGTACTAGTGGATGTGCATGGCACAATATTAGAAGTACAAGAGGGCATAAAGTAGACAGTGAGTCTGCTCCCTACCTGTCGCCTTGACACCTGAGTTACCCTCTCCTGGAATAATCACTCTTTCAAGTTCTGTTATAGTCTATCCATGCTTACCTTTGAAACCATGTTCATCCCCATGGCATCACCTGACTTGGACTGGAAACGAATATAAAGGTTGCGCCCAGCTATACTCATATGAAGTTTCTGCAGACGTGCAAATCTGTCAAGAAAAAAAGCAAAGATTTTTTATTTTTTTAAGAAGATGGAAGTTACCTTAAAATTTAGTTTAGTTGGTTCATTCTACACATAAGAGAAACCTCATGGAGATTACTTATTAGTGTAATTTCTTCTTTAACCTAACATTGTATTAGAATACTATACAGGCTGCTTCATTCTTAGGTGCTGAAAGAAGGGAGAGCTACAGACAGCTATTTCATCATAGATAAATTTTAAAAGTCCAAGTAAAAGCAAGAATATAAGCTTGAACTATGCTGGGGTTGTTATCATTTGTATTGATTATACTTCTTGATAAATTTCATTTTCTGTATTTAAAGTAAATCTTCTACGCCAATATTTACTTCAATCCCGCTTCCAAATCTTTTTTCTCAGGCAATTCAGCCCTAGGGCAATTCTAAGTCAAAATTCTTCTAGGAAAAAGTAACAGCATAATCAAAGTGAGCCCTGTAAAGCCAACACCATTTTTTTCTAATTTACCTTTATGGAAGTATTCATTTGGATTAACATTCTGCTCCTTTGCCCCAAACCAAGCATTACTATTACTCATTTAGAATAAATGGATTTAAAGTTGATATTTTGTTATGTCATTTTAAGCAGGCAATATGTTAACAGTTACGTTTAACGATCAAAGAAGATGGCACACTGGTTTGAAATAAACAATGCACTTACAAACCCATATACATACCTGCTGGTGCTATCAAATGCCTCCTTCATCACTGTGAACCCTTCAGGTGTCTCAAGCCAGGCCTTCACTTCTGCAGAGTTAGAAGCCCGGGGAAGACGTACCACTGGACCCCGAGTCATCCCATCTGCAAGGATTCGGCTGCTGGCACCTCCACCAAGCTATGCAAAGTATATTATGGAAGCACATATTATCCTGACAACAATTCTGCTTGTCCCAAAAGGTGTCCTCGATTGTCCCCAAATCTATACCCATCAACTGGCCTAGTGTATCCTAAAACAGGCAAATATATAAATGCCAACTTACACCTATTGCTCTGCAGCCTCTATTAGTGCTGGCCACAAGACAACCTTCTGTTGTTGCCATTGGAACCTGGAATTCTCTTCCATCCAAGCACAGAGGTCCTGCCACTCCAACAGGGATGGGCATATATCCAATAACATTCTCACAGCAAGTTCCTATCACCTAAAAGGTAAAGTTAGGGGCCAAGTGAAAATCTATATTGCAAATATACAGCCCTCATCATTAATAACTTTCTTCAAACTTAACCCTTCCATGTATTTGTCAACAAAATTTTTATTTACTCTTTAAAAGTACATAAGATACTAAAATATTTAAGTAACGACTATAAACAACAGGAAAAGTATTTTGAATTTCTATGACCTATATATATCATAAGCAGAATATAAAATTGCAGTAAAATGGAGAAAAAAAGGGAAATATTTTATAAAATTATATACAATAAAAGACCAGTCAAGAAAAAAACTATAAACTATAAAAAGCTAAAGATTAAAAAGTTACAAAATAAACCTCCTCAAATCAAGAAAATTACATACCAAGGAGTAGTTATAGTCCCTATAAGGGAGATACTGGAGAGAAGAAGGCTCTGGAAGTTTTTTGGAAAGTAACTGTCGGCGAATAGATACACCTCGTTCATGGGTTTCCATCAGAGTTTCCAATTTGTAAGCTGAGATATGCTTAGCACTGACTAATTGGATGATTTCAGCATCACTAAGGAATTCTGCACCTTTCTAAAGAAATGAAAAAAAAATGGGAGGGGGTTGAGGGAGAGAGATGACAAAAAACTTGAACTGTATTTCCTATTATTCATACTAAATAAATCATTTAATACAAACAATGCTCTCAATAAAGACAAAACACAAATAAGAAGAGAACCCAAATGACTTTGGAATTCTAAAGATGATTTGAGTAGAAATAGGAGTATCAAAATGAAAGCAAATTCTTTATAAAAATGTGAAAACTAAACAAATATAAGACCAAAACACTAAATTTTGCAAGTAAAGTCCATAGGAAAAAAATCCATAATTAAAATTCTGACATCTACCCTATAAGTTTTGCTATCCCTGAATACAGCAAGACAGCTGAGATATTGGTACACATGTTAATAGGAATGAGGGAAAGGAAAGTGATAAAGAAAAACAAACACAACACATATTCCCACTCATACGCACATAAATCGAGAAATGAAACAGATTAAGAAGATAAGGATGGAACACAAGGTCATGCTAAAACATGAGTGAACCCATAAGGTCATGTAGGCAGAAGGTAAAATAAGCTTTCTCATAAGCATCAAGCTTACTTTAAAAAACAAAAACAAAAACAAAAAACCTTTCTTCTACCTTTGAGGCTCATTTCTATATTATACCTCTTCTAGGCCTCAACACGTATATGAGAATACAGTAATTGCTCATCTCTATGATAAACAGTAAAAAAGTAGAAAGAGCACTGACTCTTGAGTCAGTAAATCTTGGACTCTTGATACTAGCTTTATCATTTCTCAGATGTATTACTTTGGGAAATACATAAATCTCCTGGAGCCTTCTCATCTAAAAAAAAGGAAATGATTCCATCTATCTGGCAAGGTTGTGGGGAATAAATAAGACCAGTACCCATAAACCATGCAACATGGTGCCCAGAACTTAGCAGATACTCAATAGCTATCGCTTCCTTTCTTCCTTTAAAAAAAAAAGCTCCTTTTCTTAAGAAAAATACCAAGCTTGAGTTTCTTTTATTTTCCTCACCTCTGAATTCCCAAATATCTGTATACATTCTTCATTTGGCCGAGGCTCCTTGGGAAGTTCAATTTTAGGTTCCTGTGTCTCTAGTTCCGGTGATGAAGTACTAAATAAGGAGGAATCACCAACCACAAATGTCGCTCTGTTTGAGGTGTCAGTTTCTGCCACTAAGGGTTTTATAACCTCGACTGTTGAAGAGATCAAAAGAAATCTCACAACATTGAACATAAGTCAACTTCTTGACAAATTAGCATTGTAAGAACGGAAAATGAAGAGAGTGAAAAATTACCTTTTCTTTCTCTGTTTATCTTTGTCTCCTCCTCCACTGCATGGAATTTCTGGTTATTTTTGACCACTATAGGATCACGTCTACAACAATCATCTGGGACTTTTTTGGGGGTCACCACAGGAGATGTGATAGGGTTTTTTAATGAGAGTGTGGATTCTGTCTCTGCTTGTTCGAAGAAGATGTACTTGACAGCCAGAAGGAGAGCTAAACTTAAGGTAATAACTTGTTCAACATCCATGCTGATCATTCTAAATAAAAGAAAGCAAATTAAAACATTATTACTCGTAAATATAAAAGGCACAACCTAAACTTCTAGTAGCAGTAGCATAGAGTACCATGATTAAGATACAATAAAGTAAGTCTCAGGTAACTTACTTAGAGAGATAAAATTGCCAGAGGGAAACACTTGGTTCAATTCTCTTGGACACATTTTCATCCAATCCTAAAGAAACCTTAGAATTTTCTGCTGTACTGTTTTGAGAAGGATCGGCTATCCAGCGGCTGTGAGCATGAACAAGAACCAAGCCTAGAGACTGAAATAAAAATTTTTTAAATTATGTATCTTCCGCATATCAGTGAAACCTAAATTTCTCATCCTTAGCAACTGGATAACCAGACACTATCTCCCATAGCCTCCCCTTACCATGAAAAGAAAGCCCCAAGCTTGCTGTGTGACTAAAGTAGTGGCCCCATTGAACTACTGACAACGTTGCAAAGAATAGGTTTTCAAACAAGAGATAAAATGGAAGAACTTGAAAAATTTGTTTAGGGGAGAGATGCTAATAAAGACCAGGAGCCTTAAAGAAAGGAGAAACAAGTTAAGGAAAAAAAAGGGAAAAGAAACATCAGTGAAATAGCCAAAAACTGTAGAAAGATGACAAAAAAAGGAAAAAAAGATAAAATAGACGAAATTGAAAAGCAGAATATGACACTGGAACTCAAGATACTGAAGGGAGAAGAAAACTATGTAATTACCATAATCATCTTAACCCTCTGAGTAACAGGATTTGGTTTATTTTCTTCTTCTTCTAAAACTCGGGCAAAATGGCTGAGCTGCCAAATTGGACGACCCTCGCGGCTTTCCCGAGAAAGCTATAAAGTAAGTTAGTGTTACATTAGAAGGTATTGATTTTATTTAGGCGAACTGATATAATGAGAAATATTATTCTTCTACTAATGGCATTATTAAGAACTGCTCTTACCTCTAAAACCAAGGACACACAAGCTGGGAAGAAAGTCATGAACACGAAGTAGTTGGCAAGAACTGACATGCAGCCAAAGCAGCACATAATTTCAAGCTGACGTACCCCTAGTTAGAGAAAAATTAAAATTACAATGAATAAAGTATGTGTATTTTTGATGTTGCATACAGCACTCTTCACATAGGTAGACAAATACATGAAAATATTAGTATGTTAATCTCTTTGCCATCTACCAGAAAAAGACTTAGGAACTCAGAGGTGATGCCAAGCCAGAGAGCTCAGAGGAATAACTCTCATGGGCAGAGACCTTGTTCCCTCCCATGTCTCCCACAACACAATGCCAGGCACAGAGGTAGCATTTAATGCATATTTGATAATCCCTATTTTTTAAGCGTACTATCTGTTTTGCGATACGGGTATCTAATGGAGCAAACCCTCCACAGTTACACTATTGATCCAATCCCACTAGTTACCCTAAAAGCAATTCACCTGTGGACAAAAGATTTTTTATAAAAGTAAAATATACTGTCAATTATGCCATTCCTGATATAGTATCGTAATAAATATTTTATTTGTACTACTGAACTCTAACTTCAGTAAAACCTCTATGATATTTACTGATGTTCTAATAATTTTGGTTAATTTCACTGATCTGCTTAAAAAATGATATAATGCAAAAAGGAAACTCAAGACTCAAAATTAACAACTGTTTCACTACAAAATGTTTAAAGTATCATTTAGTAATCTTCTCCAATAGAAAGTAACAGAATTACAGAACTGGAAAAGATTTAGATCACCAAATCTTACTTCCTCACTTTACAAATAAACCTGAATATAAAACATTTTTCTAATGTCACTCACGTTAAATATAAAATGTTTCAAAATATAAATAAAAAATGATTCCCTTTTCCTATAAAAACTACCAACTAGAATACAAAAAACTCAGTTATATTTTATTTTCTGAATTGTAATATATATTTAATATAATACCCTGGTGAAGAGACCTCAACTAATGACAACTACCTACTCTCTTAAAAGTTAGATAATTTACTTCTGAAAGAAGCAGCCCCTTATTGAGGGCACTAAGGTACCAGGAAATATACTAGAATTGTATTTACTTAAGTGTGGCCTTCATGAGAAAGCCATGAAATCTAGTCCTAATGATATCGACAACAGCATGCCAGAGCATAATTTCTGTCCTATATTAAATTGCTATTTAATATCTAATTTTCTACTATCCAAGTAAGGATAGACTACATACTGTCTGATTAAATCTTCCCAACCTTCCTATTAGGTGGATCTAACTTAGCTCTGTCCAACTCCTGAATCTTGCACTATCTTCTACATAGCAATTAATACGCAAGGAATCAAGTAACTTAAATTTGTTTAGGCAACAGCAGGGGCTAGGAGGTACTTTACAGAAAAGCCTTGGAATACAATCTTAGTTAAAAACCAGTCAAGAGAACAAATAAAAATACTACTAAGTCATCAAAAAAGTGGTATACAGAAAGATCACAAGAGTAGAAAACAAATCAATAAGCTGCTACTAAGTTAATATTAGAGCAGACAGACATAAGGTCAGATATAACCACATACTCATACAATTAAAAAATTTTAACAGTAATATCAGCTTTTTAAAAGTCAGGATTTAAGAATAACCAATGCATTCTAAGGTATTCTTTCTCTTTATTAAAAATTTATTAAAATGTATTAAAAATTGCTTACAAACCTGACATGGTACCTACTCCAATCACAAGGCATTCTACAAGAGCATCAAGGGTGAATGTGGGACCTAAAATTGCCATTCCACGAGCAATATTTTCCCTTACTTCATCCTAAAATATAGACCAAACATATTCATGAGAATAAAGTACAAAACAATTTTTTAAAAGGTTAGAGAGCATGCTAGAGCTTCTACTGAAATCTAACTTACTATGCAAAGAATAAAATATATAGTAATGATAAGACTAACAGGCATTCAAAATGCAAAATATGTTAATATAGAGGATTTTAAAAAAATACACACAACCGTGCCCTGCTTTCCCTTTCTATTGAACAAAATATTTCTTGAAAAGATCTCTTTGAGGTGGTATTTTAATCCTAAGATTGAAATCTCATATAATTAAATCCTACAACATTTTATATTTTAGCTACCATTGATAGAAGTCCTTAGGTGTAAATTTTTTGAGACCACGTTAGTATTATGAAACCTAAATCATATCCTTGCTCAAATTATCATAAATATTCAGCAAATACATAATCAGGGCAGAAGGACACGCTATTTTATACTCAGATACCCTGATGAAAGATTACTAAAAATGCTAAGTTCTTTACAGTGACTAATGAACATCAGGATAAATCTTTAGGTGGGAAATTATTCTAGTGTTTTCAAGGGGCTTAGAAATAAATCTACCCTGAGACTCTCTTACCTTAGATTCTATTTTGTTCGCCAATATGTTTCACTAGGTAGATATTCTTACTTATCCAAAAGTCCAAAATACTAGCTTAATTTCTGAAACCTTCAAAAAGAAAAATGGGTAATATTCCAAATTCCAGGAGTTATGAAATTATAAAGGAGTTGTTAGATAAATAGGATAGTTCCTAAGGAACATAGGAAGACCAGTCTTAGGACCTGACAATTAAACTACAATTGTAGGCAATTCCCAAATCTTGAATTATGGAGAAACTCTATTAACTCTTCCTATTTATGTAAAAAAACAGAAAAAATAATACTATTAACATTTATGCCTTACAAATAATACTTACTTGTGAGTTGGAACTGAGGGCAAACTTTGCTAGCGCACTTGCTCTGGAAAGGTCAATCAAAAGCAGGAAAAAGGGCAAAGCTTCACTGGAAAAAAAATCAAGATGATGAACTACATTTAACAAAGGAAAAATATGGATTAAAAAGTCCTTTCTAAAACAAAACTTTTTTCCCCCATACATTGTATGACCCTCTAGTATGTGTACATTTTTGCAGACCAGAAGGTATACCCTATACTCCGTTGGCATCCTCAAAGTTAAACATTTTAGTTGATCAAAACATTTGTTTAAAATGTAAATATATTTATACATTTTGATAGTTTTATACAAAATGATCATCCTTAGTAGACAATGTCTCTTTGGATTAGCATGGGGGGAAAAAAGTACAATATATACATATAATATTTTTTCATTAATCACTACTTGTGAAAGGATAAACTATAAACAACCTTACTGGAGAGTAAACTAGCAAAAATGGCATTCGAAAGTCCTAAAAACTTACACAGTTAGTATCTCATTTCTAAGAATGTATCCTAAGACAATGACTATGAATATGAACAAAAATTTAGCTACAAAGACATTCATCACAGTGTTGTTATTAATGGAGGAAATTAAATAACCTAATAATCCAATCCTATAGGATTAAGTAGATGAACTATAATATATTCATCATACACGTGAATACTAGACAGCCATTATAAATAATTCAGTTTAGCATTAAGGACATGGAAAGATTTTGATAATTATTAGGCATAAAGAAGTTATAAAGCAGTGTATATAATATGATCTTAGAAATTTTCTTTAAATATAAAAAAAAAGAGAAAGCATATATACCTAAATGTTAATGAGTATTAAAGTTAGCTAAATGATTACATGAAAATTTTCTTCATATTTTCTATAAACTTCTGAAAATTTATATATCGCAACTTTATAATATGAAGAAAAGTTATAAAGTTCTTAACAATATGTTTTGAAAATAAAAGTATACTTATGCTTTAAATATACTTACTTCAAGCCTGTCAATTCTTTATCTAAGAAATGGATGACAACTGTACTGAATACAAAACTTGAGAAAATTGTGAAGAGGCCAGCAATACCTAAAATGACAAAATCAACAAACTAAAAAAACTTCATCCTTTATTACACAAATAATTACAGTCTCATACAACATTCTGAAAGAAATAATATTATTGTCTCCAGGTTAATATTAAAGTCTCAAATATCAGAATGTCTAACTCCCAATAAGAAAACACATGCAGCACACTTTAAGCAACACACACATTTATGTATACATGATTTGAACAGGTACAATTCTATAGCAAATACAAAAAAATCTGATGGCCCGTCAAGAAATTAAATGTATAAAATGATTACCCAAAATATATTTTGATCCAAGTTGACGTAAATTCTGGAACTGGAAGTAAATATACAGGATTGCTATGCATCGCGTTATTGTCAGAATTATAATGTCACTGCTCAAAACATCCTATTGAGAAAAATAGAAAAAAATCACCATAGCTATAGCTTTCAAAACAACCAAAATATAAGAATTTTTATTGTGTATGCATCATTAGTTTACATCTTATAAAATAAATGTAAGCACGATTCAAATAAAAATATTAAATATGCAAATAAAAATTAAATCCAAATTTTTTAAAACCCAATTTTTAAACAATCCAGTTTAAGCCAATCATTTTCATTGTTAATCTCTTATAAAAGCTATATTTCTAAAGTAGAAAAAGCAAAAGAAAAGTATTTCTAGTACATTTCCATACTATAAGTAAATGGAAATTTGAGGTAAGTTCACGAATACTAAAATATTTTACTCATAACTTTTTTAATAATATGGTCTCTAAAAGGAGATATTCTTTAGAAAATAAAAATGTAATTTACTTGAGTCGATATCAAATTAATTTCACAAACCTCTTCAAACTTCGGACACTCGTAATTCCAACCACAGATCTTATCATTACCGGTAAACATGTTCATGGACATCATACAGATGGTCAGTGTCACTGTCCCTACTATGACTTCCCAGGGGTGGGAGGCCACAAAGAGGCCATGCATTCGGAAAAGTCTTGACAACATGGTAGCTACAGATCCTTGAATCCTGGAAGGAATATTATGTATGAACACTTAGTATACAGCTCACTGTACTTTTAAGAAAAGATTTCAAGGAAAAGTAAGTTGTAAAACCTGCTTTTGTATGCACAGGGTCTTGTACATATAAATATTATTATTTGATAATGCTCTTTATAATTTTGGAAAATAATTATTAAATTAAAATAAGAAGGCTCTGTTATTAATTCTTTACTTACAACACTTAAATCCTCTATTATTCACTAGCAACCAACTTAACAGCTATTTCTTACAAATTGTATGAATTAAGCCATTTAAGATAGAACCAAACAAATATCTCAGCCCTTGATATTACTTGAACCAAGGAGGAGAGCAATATAGCAGAAAATAAAATGAGAAGCAATTATTCACATTTATTTTCTTATTACCCTTAGGTAAAATGCATATAAGCATCCTCTTCATTCTCTACATTCTGGTTATGCAAAAGGTAAATATGAAAGAATCTACTCGTTGAGTGTCCTCCTATAAATCATTATCTTAGTTTATAAAGCTCCTCAAGCAAGAGAGGGGCTCATTACATTTTAACATTCCATCCAACATATGGCCTAATGTCACTAGCCAAACGATGTTTAATAAACCTTCCTAATGCTGCTGTCACCAGAGAGAAGTCTTTTCATAAACTTTTACAGCTTATCAACATGCTAAAACAGTATCTCTAGCATTCAAAAATTCCCAACAGAACATATAGGTAATTTTGATATAATGACTACCATGAGTAAACTTTCCCATGTTTGCTGGCTAAATAATAATAATAATTTTGATACTATGATTAAAAAATATCTAGTCTACAGCCATACTACCCTGAATGAGCCCGATCCTGTCTGATCTTGGAAGCTAACTAAGCAGGGTTGGGCTTGGTTAGTACTTGGATGGGAGATCACCTAGAAAGACCAGGTGCTGTAGTTGTAAAAAATAAAAAATAAAGGATTGTAAGCTGACAAGGTCCTTGCAATCTGTGAGGTCAACAAAGGGTTGCCTCGCCTAAAAAATAAATTAAAAAATAAAAATAAAAATAAAATAAAAAATATCTAATATAGTCACTGATCTCCAATACAGGAACTTATTTGTAAGACTTCTCACTCTAAAATTAATACTTATAATAAAGCATTATTAACTACCCATAAAAAGTCAATTAAAATTAAGATTTAAAAAGTAAGCCCACTGATTGACACACAAGCAAGAATTCAAATTAATCTCACATTTTTGGTAATAACCAAGAAAGGGACTCATTTATTGAAGACAGACAATAAAAAGGCATCATCTCTCAAGGTAGTCTTCTATGTTCTTTACATCTCAAGCATACAAGACTACTGGCTAGATATCTGGTTTCCAAACTGCAGGTCACAACCCTTTATTGGATCAATTAGATCACGAAATCAATTTTAAATCAGAAAAAAACATTTTTAAATAAAATAACATAGAAAAAAATAGCTGTGGGTAATAAGACAAGTAGTATGGATAAGATTACTTCTTGAAACTTTGCTTCATAAAACTATACATGTATATGTGTACTGGCATCCAACTATGTATTTCTTACTGTGGATCTCTATTTTAAAAGGCTGGCATTCACTAAGATATACAAATGTGGCATGCATCTGCCTGTGTTTATTCATGCTTTTCAACCTTCCTCTCTGAGTCTTATTCATTATTCTCCAGCACCTTGCACATATATACCTGCTTAATTCAAAATAAATTCTTAAACTACAGTAGTGTGCATTTAATTGATACTTCTTGAAACAGACCTAAAGATTACTTTTTTAAAAAATTCAACAAGAAATGGACACAAACCACCCCCCTTCTTGTTCCCCACTTAAAGGCTGAATGCAATGGGTAGGGAAGAGAGGCTACATTTTATATACTATCCTGGAAAATGAATATCAATAACAAAATTATTTTCTACTAAATTAGAAGAGACTTGTACTTAAGGTATTGGAGATTATTATTTATATCTTAGAATCAAATCCTACTTCATTATAATCAAAAGCCTCATACAAGGCTAGATTTTCATGATAGTCTCCTATCACATAACTTCTTATATTAAAAAAAACAACCCTACAAACCACTCTAAAGGATCAACTGGCATCAATGTCCCAGAAAATTAACTATACACACATTTCAAATCTAGGTTAAAATAACTTCTAACACTTCCTTCCCTAAAAAACGCTCAATTTAGGTTATTCCCTATTGAGTCAACATATCCTTCACTATTTAAAAGTTAATTCAGTTAAATTAAAATCTGAGCTGCTAACAGGAAGGCACTCCCCAATTTGATCACAAATCAGTTTAGCATTATCAACTTACAATTACATATTAGGCACATTATGTTTTTCCTCAAAAAGATTTCATGGTAGCATTGTCAATTCTGTGACATTTCTTTCTAAGGTGTAAAATCATCTTTGTAACATTCAGGAGAAGAAATACATATGATCCTATGAACCACTGCCAAATACAGAGAACCTGACCTATTTGGAAATACAAACTGAAATAACTGAATGTACACAGGTGTATCAAAAGTAACCATAATTATAAACACTCTCGTTTCTCATGAGCACCCTCCCCATTTCTCTGTGATTATGCAAAGCACTTAAATGCCATAGACTCCAATCTTCTACCTTCATCAGCAGTTGCAAGTGGCACTAGCAGGCTACAGGACGGCTCATGCAAATTAAATAGGCAGTCTTTATGCCATGTTGCAATACAAATAAATTTTACTTTAAAAATCAAGTTAAATAGGCAATATGTATGCCTTGCGCGTTCAGGCTGAAGTATGCCGCAAACATTTCAGATTCTTCAAAAGAATGGATAATTTAAAATCAATGGAATCCTCAAACTCTAATCCAATATGCTACAAAAACCACCTACCAAGGCCAATTGCAGAAAAGGATGCTTTGGCATCCCATTCTAATTCTTTCCTCCCACTCAGCATTCCTCCTGTGCTACACATTCCAGTATTTGATTATACACTACCTTACACTGTTCTCAAATTAATTGCTGTGTACGTTTTGTCTCTTTGAAGGCAAGCACCCCGCCTTATACTAAGCCATTTTTAATTCCAACAGAATCTAGCATTCTGCTGCTCAACCTAGCATCTTAGAGGAAAAATAATTTCTTGCACTGGAAATCAGGAAACCTGGATTCTACACCCAATTCTATTATATGCTACCTGTTTGTAAGTCACATCACTCTTATTTACAAAGCTAGAGCTCCAAAGCTTTGACAAAGTATTGAGTGGAACTATATGAAACTGCTATTTCTGTAGGTAAAAAAATGACCAAATTTTAAATATCAGCAATTTCATGTGGGTCAACCTAAAACGATATGGATATAAATGTGATTATCCATGGTCTAGAAACTAGATCATAAAAGAATTAAAAAAGCACATGTGTGCACACTGTTCATCTTGAAATGCTCATGCCCCTGGAGAGTTTTCATGTTAATGATGTAATCTTTGCACAATTATTTTAACTTTCATGTTACTGATTCCCATTTGTCCTTATTGCCAATTTTATCAGAAATTCTGGTAATATGTTACAACAAAGAAGTCCCTCAAAATCCAATCTATCCATTTCCAATGGACATTCCAGGCCTTAGCTAGATCACCTCTAAAAGATAAAATGTCTTTCATTGCATGGAGAGAAAAATTCACAAGCAAACAAATAATACATTCTCTAGATTGTGAGATGCTGATATTATGCACGATTTAACACAGCCTGGAAACGAATCTTTCCTATAACTTTACAGCACCAAGAAGGCATATCTTCAAGCCCTGAAATATTTCAAATGGCCATTTAAGACGGAGTACATCAACTTTCTACCGCAGAAATTGACTGTTCTATATTTGAACCTCAAAGGTAAGTTTTTCCTAACTAAAACCAAATAATTCTGAAAAACCTAAATGTTTTGACTAAAAGCACCAAGGAGACTACGCCTCTTACACACACACACACACACACGCACGCACGCACACACGAATCCTTTAAGTCCTTGGGAGACTCCCTAAGTTAGGCTCTCTGTCCTTTCAACCCGTTTCTCCTGAAAATAACAGGACATTCTGTGCAGCCACACGCACGCACGCACACACGAATCCTTTAAGTCCTTGGGAGACTCCCTAAGTTAGGCTCTCTGTCCTTTCAACCCGTTTCTCCTGAAAATAACAGGACATGTCTGTGCAGCCTCACGGTTCCTTAATGGTTCTGACTTAGTCGCCGCATACAGAGATCTTTCCCATCACTTTAAAGAAAGGTGCTGACGAACAGCACCGCCTGGGCATGGACGCCTACACCGGATGGACCTTCTCGGACCTGCACCGGACGGGCCGCTCCCTAGCCCCTCAGCATTTCCAGAATGGAGGGGCCTTCAAGGTCACCCTCCTGGCACCCTTTCCGCCCCAATGATCGTGACAGCTCAGCCAGCACTGCCTACATCTAACAGGGGAGGCAAATGCTACTACGCCCCGCCGCCCGACGCTCAGGCCCAGCCTGGCCCCCAGGTTCCCCTGATGTCAGTGCGGGCCGCCGCTCCGCCAGCCGCACCTCAAGGACGTCTCGCAGTCCCCGCGGGACAGGGCCCCCACACCCTCAAAGCCACAACTGCAGCTCCCGCCAGGTCCACAGGAGGTTCTGGCCGCTCCTTCCTAGGGCCGAGCAGAGCTCGAGAACCGCCACCAACGCCGCTCTAATCTCGCTCCCACTCACCACCGTCCCGCTTGCCGCCTTCCGAGCCCCTCTTCGCGGCCACCGTCCGACTCACCTCCCGATCTCACTAGAGGCCACCTAACCCCCGCGCCGGCGCTCCGTCTGTCTCCAGAGACGCGGGGCGGAAGAAATCTTCGGCTTACGCACGCTCGGAGCCGGACGAGCCTGCGACCAATGAGAAAGGATCGTCCGATCGTCTAGCCAATCATCTGGGGGCTGCTCAGCCTGGTGGCGCAACGTCACGAACGGTCGCCTTAACAACCGCCCACAGCTCTCACCCGTGCAGAGAACCGGCACCGCACCATCTCTCACCATGGCTCGGCCAACCAATAGCTAGTCGAGTCCCAGCACTAGGGCCTGCTTATTGGTCAAAGAGCTGTGGGGACGCAAGCGTGGAAGCGGCCTCGACGAAGACTGTAGGGCATCTGGCGGGTGGAGTATCGTACAGCCCAGGACCCTGACCTGTGTCACCCTGGCTGTGAGAATAAAAATGAAGAGCGGAAGTGGAGCGTGAAGGTAAAATGCAGGTCAGGTTGAGGATAGAAAGCTCAATTACTTAGAGGAGAGAGATGAAGGGAAGTGGAGGTGGCCTGGAAAAAAGAGGAATGTAAAAAGGGGAAGGTGGCAGTGAGGTGCAACCCAAAACTCAAGCTGACTAGTATCCAAATCGAAGCCTTCATCTTCCTGTGACTTACCCAAAAATGACTCCAGTCATTGGGGTCTCTCCTCTGTCTCTCCACCGCCCCCACCCTCCCCCACCCCCGCCCCACTCCCTTCCTCCAGTGCCAGGCACTAGTCACATGCTTGGATTCTCTCTGAAATGTGCCTCTCCCGTGTCTTTGCATTCCCTCTGCCCTCCTTCTGCTGCAGGCTTGTATTACCTCTTACCTGAAATAGTGCTATAACCTCTCCTAACTGGTCTCTCCACTCTTGGTGCTTCCACCTTCCAATCCTATTACTCATTCAGTAGGCTTGCCCCCAAACCATCAGGAGTTGCCTACTAGAGTAAAGAACTGGGCACCACCAATATGGCCCCACCCAACATTTTCTGTATATCTCTCACAACTTCCCTGTGTCAACCCTACATTTCAGCCAGAAGAGTAACTGGCCTTTTTTTCCAGTCACACTCAGTACTTTTTTACCTCCTGCTTGTAATTCTTTGTTTAATCTGGAAATGCCTACATTTTTAAATTGTTGAAATCCTAACTATCCTTCAAGGGCCATTTCACATGCCACTTCCTTTCCTGATTCCCTCAAACACACTTCATCTCTTCCTACTTTGAGCACCCATAACATTTCCATAATATTCTATGACTTGTTTTTTTATAGTATTTGGAAATTTATTAAAAACAGGAATTGTAATCCTGTTTTTATTCAGTTTTTTAATTCAATTTTTAAAGAGCTGTATTTTGAAACACAATCCCTAGAACATACTATATATATATATACACAGTAGGCATTGTAAGAAACTATTATCTTGCTCAATTCTCATAATTCTTATAAAATAGATGTTATCTCCATTTACAAAAAAAAATGGGTTGATTAAAATCACTTAATTACATAGATAATTCGAAAAACTGGAATTTGAACCCAGATCTAAAGCTTTTGCTTGTTTTGCTATACTCCACTGCTTCAGTATAAGACCTTTATTCATACCTCTTTACCAAATACTTTTGTAATGTCCACTATGTGCAAACCATAGTTGACAGTGGAAATACAGAGACAAACATGACAAACATGGAAACTGCCTTTATGAACCTTACATCTCTTCACAGAATAGATGCTATTTGTTGAATTAATTTGTTGAATTAATTATAATGGAAGGAAAAAGTTTTCACAATGAAAAAGACTGAGGTGAACTAACCGAAGATTGCAATATTCTATCACTAGTCTTATCAAAAGGAAAAAGAAAGAAGAAAAGTAAAGAAAAAGAAAAAGATGTGTAAGTACTAAGAGCTTAGAAACTGTCATACTTTTAATGTCCCTAGAAGTCTGCAGGGCCAGAGATTTCAGAATCAGAAGTTACAGATTATACAATTGCTTGCTAATATAAATTCAGATTGTTGTAGCCGCCAGCCGCCGAAAGACACACGGACCCCAGAAATCAGTGAGTCATAGGAAACATGCTCTTTATGCAGCCAGCGGGGTCTGCCAGGGGTACGCAGACCCCAAATTAAGCAGCCCCAAAATGTAGAGGTACAGGGTTTTTAAGCCCTAAATCCCATTCCTCATTCTGTCTTAAACACAAAGGTCTATTTTTGTCTTATTCACTACCTGTCAACCCACAGGTCGGTTGTGCAAGCAAGAGTACAGAAGCAGAAAGCTTATAGTTAGAATGTTATGTTCCCATGGGTGATAGCCTATGTTCCCATAGGCGATAGCCAAGCAGTAATTTTCCAGCCAGCACAAGATAAGGATTATGAAGGAATTTCCCCAGAAGGTTTCAGACCAAGGTTTGGAAACTTCCATTCTTAAACTTTGCTTAATTGAGAATTCCAATGAGCATATGCATTCAAAAGCAAGCAATAAAGAAATTCTAATTGTTTGGTTTTATGTTCTTGAGACAATTTCTGTATGATTCCAAAATGTATTTCAAAAGAATCTTTATTGCACTTAACTAATAATTGGCATTTAATGATAAATCACAAAATTTGGCCTGGCCACAAATTTCGTGTCAAGGGGATCTATGTGCCTTCTTTTCTTGTGGTTTACCTTCAGAGCAAAAAGTTTATAGAAGTATAATTTTAAGAGCCTCTTTTAAAGTAATGAACAACCCACATTACCATCTTAATTCACATTGCCCTTAGCATTTACTTGTGTAAACATGTTAGACCTCTGGCCTTCACTTTTTGTTCCTTTTTGTTGTCATGGGTCCTGCATTAAGACAGAGAATTTTAACAATAACGATGATGATTATGACATACAGCTTTCTATGTACCAGCTGCTTTTCTAAGTGCTTTATTTATATTTATTTAATTCTCATAACAATTCTATGAGGAAAGCATTAGTAGCATCTGTTTTTTACAAATAAGCTACAGAAACAAAGAAATTATGTAACCTGCCTAAATTCACACAACTCAGAAGTGGCAGAGCTGGAATATCAATTTTGAAATCTAGTTCCCAAGCACATGCTCTAAATCCACTGTACTTATCTCTTGCATTAGCTTAATATACACTGTTTTGTATTAGACTACATCATGATTGTTGAAGCTTCTGATGCTCTATTGTGAAAGACTTCTGTAATATCAGCAAAGAGTTTTACTTATTTACCATTCATAGTTCAAAGTTGTGTTCAAATTTATATCTTCTGATCTTGGGCAGTTTTCTTTCTTTGTCTTGTACAATCTTTCTTTTTTTGAATTTTAGGGGTAATTTTTTTAACCAGTACATTTCAAGTGATTGGTTACTTAGCTTTTGGCAGATACTATGACTGATTGTCACTCCCTGCCCAAGCTCAAGAATATTCACTGAAGACCTACTCAGTGCTAAGCTAAAGGATAGGCACTCAAGGTACATAGTTAAATGAGAAAACATACACGAACAGATCCTTTCCAGATGACATGGTAAGCGTTCTGAGTGAGGTATGCAGAGAGCCCACTGAGTAAAGAGATAAGGCATGGAGTTTGGAGTGTGGTGTGTTTTGAACAAGGGGAGGAAGTGGTTTGCAAGAAGGCTAGTTTAGCCACCAGAGCCAAGATTGTGAGCATGAGAATGGAGGTAACATACATACAGGAGCAGAAAATTAATTAGGCAGAATATTCTAAACTAGTAGCTGAAAATAGTAGCTGAAGCCTCTTTTGAAGTTGAGAGCAAAGGTCTCTACAGGAAAGGGTACACATATTAAAGATCGCTTCTCTCTGCTGAGCCTGCTTTCATTGTTTGTGCTTTTGTTTGTTGTTTTCTTCACAGTTCCCCACTCCTCTGTTTAGGTCTTTCTGGAGCTTTATAGAAGCAGTTGGGAAGTAGGTATCAGCTGTATTGGATACTTTTTTTTTTTTTTTTTAAGGAAAAAGACTGCTCACACAAGATAGAAACAAACTATGTATAATGAGGAGTGAGTGTTCATTCTTAATATTCCTAGGATTCTTAGCTAAGGTGACTGGGTCACAAAGGAGTCAACAGAAGACCAAGAAAGGAGGTGAAAAAGAAAAAAAAATTGACCCAGGAATGAGCACTACTTTTTATCCCTCAGTAACAAACCCGGTCCTGGTCTCAATTGATAAGTGCGAAGTGAGCCATTTAATACAAGGCTGCATCCAGCTTAGTTGTCAAGTCCTATTTCCTTCCTATTCATTCTCCCAATTCTAACCTTTCTCTCTAGCTTTGTTTAGCTCCCAATTGAGAGAGACCAGAAGGAAATTATAATGGGAAGAGGGGTGGGGAAGGAAGTTTAGAAGGAGGTAGATAAGATTTCACCAGGCAAGAATTGAAGAAAACGAAGAAGGATAATGGCTCAAAGGGACTCTCCTCAGCTTCCCTGAGCAGCCCTATCTAAGGAGAAACCAGCTTTCCTGAGCAGCCCTATTGAAGGAGACACCAAAGAGCAATTTCCTAGAGCTGCACACAGTAGGCAATCTTTCAATACAAAGCTGCACAGAGTAGGCAATTTTTTAATACAGAATTATTTTCACTCATAGGTAAAAGTGGCCCAAACAGTATATAGGACTCTAACTATATCTACTACAAATTGCAAATGAATTTAGCTACATCTAACAGAACCTGAACTAAAAGTGGCTTAAACAAGACAAGCATTTCTTTCTTTTTTGGATAAAGGAAACTGGGGGTAGGTAGTCTAGGATTAGCATGGCAACCCAGGAGGCTTTCTGATTCTTCTGTCTCCCTGCCTCACCATCCTCAGCATGTGTCTTCCATCCTCAGGGTCACCTTGTGGTCTAGGATGGCAACAGGAGCTCCATACTTCATATCTGCATTTCTGGAAGGAGCAAAGTAAAAACAAAAGGGCAAAAAAAGGGCCCTTCACAGCTGAGTCAGCACCCTTCTCATAGTTTCTCAATGGCCAGAGAGTACAAGGCCATACCTAGCAACAAGGGAGCTGGGGAATGTAATCTTTATTTCTAGCAACAACGTGCCCAGCTCAGAATTGAAGAAAGGTTCCCACTTCTGTGTCTTTCATGATGTTCCTGCATTGAGTGAGCACACAATAAGTACCCAATACAGTTGTTGATCCCTTAACAGCAAGAAACAATTTTACTATCAAGTTTTTGGGGCATAGGAAAAAACATAAATCAAAGATCTGTATTTTATAAACATTAGCTTGAAATGTCAATAGACACCTAGACTTGACTTTTAGCTAAATCTACCAAAAACATATATCACAAATGGTCCAACATAAGAAAATAATCTAGGAAACTAGCAAAGTGGGCTCCCTTTTTAGAATAAAGAACCTCACTGACCTTATTTATTGCTCTATGTCAAACACTTGCAACATTGAATGAATGAGTTACAGCAACTTTCCAGCCAATTTGTGGTCTTGATTTCTTCATAATCCAGATCTCCTGCTTTCATCTCTGCATTTTTTAATACCTACTATGCTTTGTATGCTGTTCAGTTCTGTACCACAATTGCTGCCTCCCGCTTTGAAATGTCTTAGGCCTGTGAATTTTGCCTCCCTGAAAAGGTTTCCAGTTCTTTCCACCTTTGCCTCAGCGGATTGAACTGAAGCTGCAGTTGCTGATGCTTCTAAAGCCCACAGTTCGGGGGCCCAGCAAACACTGTTGTCTTCTGGCCTTGGCTCATCCCTAAAATCTTACTTTTTTCCTTCCACTTTGCACCTTCCAGGCTTTGAGTAGCATGTACTACTTCAGTAACAGGATGTTTTGAGATGCTCTTGGTAAAATTTCCCTAGCTAGTTCTTAGCATCCTTAAAGCTGACATTTCCTTCTTGTGGAAAGTGAGGGAGATTAGCAAACTACCCACCGTTTTCAAGAAAGGCACTGCCAATGTCTCTGTGCTTCCTCCAGGAAGAGAGGCTACTCATCGGCAAAGGCTGCTAAGTGCCTCTCTATTCAGAACTCCCACTTGCTTGTTCTTTTGAAATATATGTCACTATAAATAATTTAAGAAGAAATTTGACCCATATACCCCAAGAAATGTTAAGAAAATTTTAATTGATGTCACTATGGGCTAATAATTTTTGCTCTAAAGAAGGTAATAAAAGCAGCCAGAACAGCCCCTCCCCTTAGCCAGCCCTTTATTGAAACAGTTGCTGTGGAAACCCTACAGGAGCTTGGCTGTAGGCTGTGGACAAAGCTCTGTGTCTCTACCCTGTTCCTCACCAAAGAATCATCTTTCTTTTGAAATCTAGGACTGGCTGGACCACCAGATAATCCCTATTTTGGTAAAGAGCTCAAACCATGTATGGTAACATCTGACATTGCTTGGCATTGTATTTAATAGGGGGTAAAGTGAGAGTGAGACCATTTGGCTGGTCTCGGTCTTTAGGTGCCCTTCTCATAGCAACAAAAAGTTACCATTGTGGGCTACTGGGGCTCAGTTCTGTTGGGGACCCTCTATATGTGCAAGGGCTGAGATACTGAGACTTTGGAAAAGCCAAGAGGCCAAAAAAAAAAAAAATTTGAGAGACTTGATGATAGGCACTTGAAGGGAGTAGACTTCAGCCTGCCAAGAACTGTCTACCTCACTTGCAGCTGAAGGTAACACAGGAACAGATGTGGCAAGGGGTAGCTTTCTGTTGTGAGGACTGCATTATGGGTCACCATACCAGCCTTTTCATTTCTTTCCTTTTCTCATTGGGCCTCTTTTAACTACAAGCCTTCAGCTGTTTTAGAAGCTGGCGCTGTTTCCCCTGAAGTTTTTATAATTCCTTACTAATGCCTGGGCAATAGTGTCCTATTCACAAACCACATTCTAAAGGCCTCTTATTTTCTCACTCTGGTTGTCCTCGTCCTCTGAGTAGGACTGGTCCCCGTAACTAGTGGCTGTCAATATTTTTAAGCTTATAAGTACTCTAGTTTACACATGGAAAGTGATCAATATATATTTGTTGATGATTCTACAATAGTGAAACTCTGACCTTATAAATACTGTTAAGCAGAAACTTGTCTAATCAAGTGAAATCAACATTTATTGCAGTATTTCAAAGAAAAGACAAGAAAGCTGATGGGTAGTTACGTAGGAATTCGAGAAGCTCCTTACACACAAATGGAGTTTCACTGTTTCCGATATCTAAAGATCTCATCTTTGTCAGACAGAGGAGGCATATCATTCGTGGGAGTTAGGGTTTAAAATCAGTGCAAAAAAGGAACTCCAGCAGGATCTCAAGGCGGTTTTTTTTTTTAATCATGTGGGGAGAGAAAATGTCAGTCAAAAATATCCTTAAAATCTCTTTATATTTCATAAAAAATAGTATATATATTTTGTTTTTACATTGATAGAACTTTTATGCACACTACATTTGAAACTCTCAAACTCTTAGAAGAGTTTATCTGTAGATAGTTAAGCATGCCAACCTTTCTGCTCGTAAGATTTAACTTTTAAACTCTAAAGCGAATGAGAGGTAGGTAGTGAATGCTAATGTGTTTGTGCTTGCTTACAGGGATGCTCTAATCTATGTCACTGTTACTCCACGGTATGCTATTAGATTTGAAGTGTGCTTCTTGTTATGAGTTAGCCCATTATTTGTGATATATTTTGCAAATATTCCAGTTTGTCTTTTTGACTTTGCTTATATTTTTGCTACACAAAAGTTTTTTTTTGTTTTTTGTTTTTTGATATAGTCTGTTATTGCATCTGGATTTTGAATTATAATTCAGAAGCCTTTCCCCACACCCAGGTTATAAAGAAATTCATCTGTGTTTTCTTTCAGTACTCATTTGGTTTTGTTCTTTACATTAAGATCTCTGATTCCTTTGGAGTCTATTCTTGAGTGTAATGTGAGATGTAGATTCAATTTAATATTTTGCCCAGTGGCTATATTCTGGTTTTCTTATTCACAAAACATTGTTCTCTGCAGTCACACGTCTTTAAGCTCTCTCATAAGGTGAGTCACTTCTGTATATAATGAATCATATTAGTTATTTTGTGTGTGTTTGGTTCTAAAGGGTACTGTTTTCTGAAACTGTTTACAGATTCTGAGGATGTACCTTATCTGGAGCCCTAGCGCCTTATGAAAAGAATATTGTATTTACAAAGCACTTTTCTAATTGTCCAGACCTGCTCAGGGATTGTAGAAATTTTAAATAAGGTAAATGATATGGTTCTCATGATTAAGGACTTCAACTTGTAGTAATACATATGGAGTGATTAAAAAACAATTCAAGGCAGCATAGTAGAATTTACATTTGGGGTTACTACCTAAATACTAGGAAATATTTCTCTGCACATGGGCAATCAATATGTATGGCAGAGTTGCTTTTGAATTATTCATTTTAGTTACAGGTAATGGAGAACCTAACTCACAGAGGCTTAAACGTTTTCCCCTCATCTCTATCAAGAAAATCTGAAAGTAAGTAATTACTGGCATTGGTTCAGTAGCTTAACAGTGTTAAGGCTAGGACCTCTCCAATTCTGCTGGCCTTTGACACATGGTCCAAGATGGCTGCTGAAGCTCAGGTATTACATCCGGGTTCTGAAGAGTAGAATATGCCACCCTAAAATATGCCACTTGGGCATAAGGATCATTTGGAGCTAGAGGCACTTGAAAAATAGCAGATGCAAAGAGGGCATTCTGACCTCCCCTTTTCTTCCTGAAAGCAGGAGATAAAACTCCCATATGAAAGACTCTCTCTCCATACCAGGAAGAAAAGAACATTGTTATTATCATAGGTAGTAGGCTGAAGCCAAGAGAAACCTGCACAAATAGACTTTTTTAAAATAACCCTTACCTTCCCTTAGCCTTCCCATATATTTTAGTTATGTTTTCACAATTACTACTCTTTGTTCAACCTAGTATATGAGCACTTCGGTCTAAATGCTTTGTGGGTCTTCATTTTCCTGTAAAGTTTCCCATGTAGATATAAAAATAAAATTTCTGTGCTTTTCTCCCCTTAATCTGTCTTACGTCAACTTAATTCTCAGGTTTAGCCAGAGACCCTAAGAAGTCTGAGAAAAGTTTTGCCTCCTCTACAGTTCAAAAGAAGTATAGATGAATGGGGCATACTAGCTGCCTTTCTCTTTTATCAGAAAAAATGTTCCCTGAACTTCTTCAGAAGACGTCTCCTTTTGTCTCTTTGGCCAAGACTCTATCACATGGCCATCCCCAGGTGCAAGAAAAGCGGGAAAATAGAATATTTAAGTGTTGCACCTTCTATCAGGGGGAACTGCAAGGGAGAGGAGGTTTGCAATGGCTACTTGATAAACTGGCCAATGCATTTAGCCATATTTGTCTCATTTCTGCTTGCCGAAAAGAATGCCTAGAATGTCAAAATAATTCTGGGTTAGTGAGGGCGCTGGGAGGGTGATGCACCCAGAGAAGTCATGGAAGCTCTGTGCCTCTCCCCCTAAGAATTGCTCTATGCATCTCTTCTATTTGGCTATTCCTGAGTTGTATTATTTGTAATAAACCAGTTAATGTGTTTTCCTGAGTTCTGTCAGTCATTCTAGTGAATTAGTAAACCTGAGGAGTAGTTTTTGGACCCCCTC